CCTAGTGGTTTTCCCTACTTTCTTCAATATCAGTCTGAATTTGGCAATAAGGAGTTCATGATCTGAGCCACAGTCAGCTCCCGGTCTTGTTTTTGCTGACTGTATATAAGTTCTCCATTTTTGGCTGCAAAGAATATTATCAATCTGATTTCAGTGTCGACCATCTGGTGATGTCCATGTGTAGAGTTTTCTCTTGTGTTGTTAGAAGAGGGTGTCTGCTATGACCAGTGTGTTGTCTTGGCAAAACTCTGTTAGCTTTTGCCCTGCTTCATTTTGTACTCCAAGGCCAAATTTGCCTGTTACTCCAGGTGTTTCTTGACTTCCTACTTTTGTATTCCAGTCCCTTATGATGAAAAGGACATATTTTTTTTTAATTTAGCACATTTTATCTCTTGTGTTACATGAGCAAGAAAAAATATCACATCTGGGACTGGTTTATTATGAAAATATGCTATTCCTTAGCATTTCTCCTGACACTTGCTTGGAATTCTTTCCCAATTCCCTGTCAGAAGCAGGTCACTCAGGTGTGCCCCGGGATTTGTGCTAAGTGTTCTGTAAAAAAGCCTTGCCTCTTTTTTTGGGGGGGCCTTGCCTTTGAGGAGCTTATACTCCAATGAGAAAACTGACCTGCACAAAAGCAGTATTTATGGGATCTTGTCCCAGGGCTGCAGCAGACCCTGGGAATGTCTAGATTTCACACAGACAGTTCTGATTTTCACCAACAGGACTCAAGGTGTAGGTGGTGTGTCGTTTGTCTGGTCTATAGCCTGGCCCCTGCACCTGTGTCCCAGCCTCTGGCCTCCGGTATCCCCATCTCAGCACCTTCAGTGGCCATCACATTTGCCTAAACTGCCATATAAAAGTCTACATTTTCCTTATAATGGAGATATGTTAGAACAATTGTTTATGGATATAATTTATAAATAAATAAGCATATATTATCAGCACAGGTTGAAATATTTACTGTTATTAAAAAAAAAAATCCCAACAAACAAAAGTTCAGGTCCTGACAGTTTTACAGGGGAACTGTACCAAATATTTAATGCCTATTCTTCTCCAACTATTTCAAAAAATTGCAAACAAAGAAATACTTCCAGAATGATTCTACAAGGCCAGCATCATCTGATGCCAAAGCCAGCCAGACACCACAATAAAGAAAATTATAAGCTAATATCCCTAATGAACATAGATGCAGAAATCCTTAACAGCATATTAGCAAACTAAATTCAATAATACATTAAAAGTATCATCAACATGATCAAGTAGGATCTATCCCAAGCATACAAGGATCGTTCAATATCTACAAATCAATGAATGTGATACACCACATTAACAAATTGAAGAATAAAAATAATATGACTATCTCAATAGATGCAGAGAAAATCTTTGACAAAATTCAATATACATTTATGATAAAAAAAAGTTCTCAAAAAGTGGGTATAGAGGGAATGTAACTCAACATAATAAAAGCCATTTAGGACAAGCCCACAGCTAATACCATACTCCACAGAAAAAGCTGAAAGCTTCCCTCTAAGATCAGAAACAAGACGAAGATGCCCACTCTTGCCACTTTTATTCAATACAGTTTTATAAGTCCTAGCCACAGCAGTCACAGAAGAAAAGGAAATAAAAGCTATCCAAATGGGAGAAGAAGAAGTAAAACTGTCACTATATGCAGATAACTTGATACTATGTATAGAAAATTCCAAAGACTCCACCAAAAAACTATTAGAGCTAATAAATTCAGTAAAGCTGAAGGACACAAAATAAATAAACAGTAATCTGTTGCATTTCTATATACTAACAAACTATCAGAAACAGAAATTAAGAAAACAATCCCATTTACAATTGTATCAAAAATAATTAAATAATTGAATACCTAGGAATAAATCTAACCTAGGTGGTAAAATCCTGTCCTTGGATAACTATAAGACATTGATGAAAGAACAGAAGAAAGTACAAAATAAAGGAAAGATATCCTGTGTTCATTGATGATTTGATCTCCTTGCAGTCCAAGGGAGTCCATGCTATGGAAGAATTAGTATCGTTAAAACGAGCATAATTTCCACAGTACTCCATAGACTCAGTGTAATCCAATCAAAATACCAATGACATTTTTCACAGAACTGGAGCAAATAATTCTAAAATTTGAATGGTGCCACAAAAGACCCCAAATCACCAAAATCATGTAAGAAAGAAGAGCCAAAGTGGAAGCATCATGCTGTCTAGTTTCAAACTAAACCACAGAACTACAGTCATCAAATCAGTGGGTACTGGCACAGGAAGACACCTAGATCAATGAAGCAGAATAGAAGTCTAGACATCAACCCACACACCTGTGGTCAATTAATCAGCAGCAAAGACCAAAAAGTGCGGTAAGGAGTTTCTTCAACAAATGCAGTTGGGGAAACTGAACAGCTACATGCAAAAGAATCCTACTGGACCACCTTCTCACAGAAAGATAAACTCAAAATAGACTGAAGCCTTTGATGTAAAGCTGAAACCATAAAACTAGAAGAACTCACAGGCAGTATGTTCTTCAATATAGGTCTTAGCAGGAGTTTTTTGACTATGTCTCCTCAGGCAAGGGAAAAAAGCAAAACTTTTAAAATGTGACTACATCAAACTAAAAAGCTTTAGCACAGCCAAGGAAACTATCAACAAAACAAAAAGGCAGCCTATTGAATTGAGGGAAGATATTTGCAAATGATATGACCAATAACAGGTTGATTTAGTAGTTTAGTCGCTAAGTTGTGTCCAACTCTTGCAACCCCATGCACTGTAGGCTCCCAAGTTCCTCTGTCCATAGGATTCTCCAGGCAAGAATACTGGAGTGGGTTGCCATTTCCTCCTCCAAATAAGGGGTTAATATCCACAATATACAAGGAGCTCACACAGCTCATCAAAAAAACAAACATCCTAATTAAAAATTGGGCATAAGACCTAAATAGACATTTCTCCAAAGAAGACAAGCAGATGGCCAATAGACATATGAAAAGATGCTTGACATCCCTAATCATCGGGGAAATGCCAATTAAAACCAAAATGAGATAGCACAGCACACCTATCAGAAAGGTTATCATCTAACAGGCAATAAACAGCAAGTGCTGTTGAGGATGGGGAGAAATGGGGTCCTCCTGCACAGTTGGTGGGAATGTAAATTGGTGCAGCCGCTGTGGAGAACAGTGTGGAGGTTCCTCAAAGGAAAACTAAAAATAGAAATACCATATGATCCAGCAATCCCACTTCTGGGCATTTTTCCAAAGGAAACAAAAACTAATTTGAAAAGATATAGGTATCCCCTATGGTCACTGCAGTATCATTTACAATAATACAAGACATGGAAGCAGCCTACTGACCATTAACGATGAATGGATAAAGAAGATGTGGTACATATGCACAATGAAATATTATTCAACCTTAAAGAGAATGAAGTCTTGCCATTTTTGACAACATGGATGAATCGAGAGGGCATTATGCTAAGTGAAATAAGTCAGGCTTAGGAAAGATAAAATATAAAACAAAAGAACAAACATAACAAAACAGAAACAGAGTCATAGATACAGAGAGCAAACAGGTGATTGCCAGGGGGAGGGAAGTGATGGAATGAGAGAATAGGTGAGGGAGGTGAAGACAACAAACTTCCAGTTGCAGAATAAATTAGCCCCAGGGATGAGGTGCATAGCATAAGGAATACAGTGTTATAAGTTTATATGATGACACATGGTCACTAGATTTCCATGGTGATCATTTTGAAATGTGTAAAAATATCAAATCACTGTGTTGCACACCTGAAAATAATATGATACCAAGTCAATTCTACTTCAATAAAATAATTTTTATATATTTAGTGTTGGGGTAAACCATCAAAAAGGTTGGGAGACCAAACGATTCCTCCAGTTAGTCCCGGGGGGCACTGAATTGAGGGATTGGTCAAAGTCTCAGGGTGTATCTTCAGCAAGCCTCAAAGATGCATGCTAAATAAGGAAGTGCATTTCCAAAATAAAACGCTATCCGGCACACACCCACAGGCACCCGGATAAGCAGACCCAATCACAGCTCCTGCTGGGAACGAAGGCAGGATTCCCACAGCTGGAGGGCGGATATTCTCAGGGCACTGGAGGGAGTCGAGCGCGGGACTGGGGGTGGAGTGCTGCTCCCTAGGGGACCCCGTCAGCCTCCACGCTGCCCGACTCACTGGCCCAGCAAGGTCCCCAGGGTGCGGGGGAGAGGGGGGCGGTTATCTCTGCTTTGACACAGTCACCCCTGGGCAGAGCTCCGGCACCAGAGCCAGCTGTCCTGTGAGGACACGTGCCAAGACACACAAGGCAACAGGCGAGCCGGACAAACTTACCAAGAATTGTGCAATCGGAAAATCTAGGGGAATTTTTAAAAATTTCATCACAGTTCAAAGTTTGTTCTGTTCCAAAATGCTTTTTGTATTTGCATTACACGCAGGAGGAAGCCTCATGCTCTTCTCAGGGTTGGGGCCCTAAGGTCTCCAGAAGGCCCTGCCCACAAGGAACCAGCCAGGAAATGGGCCTTGCCCTGCGGAGCTGGCGGTCAGCGCCCAGCAGCGCCCAGGTCCAGCCTCGCCCTGTGGAGCTGGCGGTCAGCACCCAGCAGCATCCAGCTCCAGACTCGCCCTGCAGAGCCGGCGGTCAGCGCCCAGCAGCGCCCAGCTCCAGCCTCGCCCTGCAGAGCCGGCGGTCAGCGCCCAGCAGTGCCCAGCTCCAGCCTCGCCTTGCGGAGACCGTGGTCAGTGCCCAGCAGCACCCAGCTCCAGCCTCGCCCTGCGGAGCCCACGGTCAGTGCCCAGCAGTGCCCAGCTCCAGCATCGCCCTGTGGAGCTGGCGGTCAGCGCCCAGCAGCACCCAGCTCCAGCCTCGCCCTGTGGAGCTGGTGGTCAGTGCCCAGCAGTGCCCAGCTCCAGCCTTGCCCTGCAGAGCTGGCGGTCAGTGCCCCGCAGTGCCCAGCTCCAGCCTCACCCTGCGGAGACCATGGTGAGTGCCCAGCAGTGCCCAGCTCCAGCCTCGCCCTGTGGAGCTGGCGGTCAGCGCCCAGCAGCACCCAGCTCCAGCCTCGCCTTGCGGAGACCGTGGTCAGTGCCCAGCAGCACCCAGCTCCAGCCTCGCCCTGCGGAGCCCACGGTCAGTGCCCAGCAGTGCCCAGCTCCAGCATCGCCCTGTGGAGCTGGCGGTCAGCGCCCAGCAGCACCCAGATCCAGCCTCGCCCTGTGGAGCTGGTGGTCAGTGCCCAGCAGTGCCCAGCTCCAGCCTTGCCCTGCAGAGCTGGCGGTCAGTGCCCCGCAGTGCCCAGCTCCAGCCTCACCCTGCGGAGACCATGGTGAGTGCCCAGCAGTGCCCAGCTCCAGCCTCGCCCTGTGGAGCTGGCGGTCAGCGCCCAGCAGCACCCAGCTCCAGCCTCGCCCTGTGGAGCTGGTGGTCAGTGCCCAGCAGTGCCCAGCTCCAGCCTTGCCCTGCAGAGCTGGTGGTCAGCGCCCAGCAGCGCCCAGCTCCAGCCTCGCCCTGTGGAGCTGGTGGTCAGTGCCCAGCAGTGCCCAGCTCCAGCCTTGCCCTGCAGAGCTGGTGGTCAGCGCCCAGCAGCGCCCAGCTCCAGCCTCGCCCTGCAGAGCTGGTGGTCAGCGCCCAGCAGCGCCCAGCTCCAGCCTCGCCCTGTGGAGCTGGTGGTCAGTGCCCAGCAGTGCCCAGCTCCAGCCTTGCCCTGCAGAGCTGGTGGTCAGCGCCCAGCAGCGCCCAGCTCCAGCCTCGCCCTGTGGAGCTGGTGGTCAGTGCCCAGCAGTGCCCAGCTCCAGCCTTGCCCTGCAGAGCTGGTGGTCAGCGCCCAGCAGCGCCCAGCTCCAGCCTCGCCCTGTGGAGCTGGTGGTCAGTGCCCAGCAGTGCCCAGCTCCAGCCTCACCTTGTGGAGCTGGCGGTCAGTGCCCAGCAGTGCCCAGCTCCAGCCTCGCCCTGTGGAGCTGGCAGTCAGCGCCCAGCAGTGCCCAGCTCCAGCCTCGCCCTGCGGAGCCAGTGGTCAGCGCCCAGCAGCATCCAGCTCCAGCCTCGCCCTGCAGAGCCAGCAGTCAGTGCCCAGCAGTGCCCAGCTCCAGCCTCACCCTGCAGAGCCGGTGGTCAGCACCCAGCAGTGCCCAGCTCCAGCCTCACCCTGCGGAGCAGGCGGTCAGTGCCCAGCAGCATCCAGCTCCAGCCTCACCCTGCGGAGCCCACGGTCAGTGCCCAGCAGTGCCCAGCTCCAGCCTCGCCCTGTGGAGCTGGCGGTCAGTGCCCAGCAGTGCCCAGCTCCAGCCTTGCCCTGCAGAGCTGGTGGTCAGTGCCCAGCAGTGCCCAGCTCCAGCCTCACCTTGTGGAGCTGGCGGTCAGTGCCCAGCAGTGCCCAGCTCCAGCCTCGCCCTGTGGAGCTGGCAGTCAGCGCCCAGCAGTGCCCAGCTCCAGCCTCGCCCTGTGGAGCTGGTGGTCAGTGCCCAGCAGCATCCAGCTCCAGCCTCGCCCTGTGGAGCTGGCAGTCAGCACCCAGCAGTGCCCAGCTCCAGCCTCGCCCTGCGGAGCCAGTGGTCAGCGCCCAGCAGCATCCAGCTCCAGCCTCGCCCTGCAGAGCCAGCAGTCAGCGCCCAGCAGTGCCCATCTCCAGCCTCGCCCTGCAGAGCCGGTGGTCAGCACCCAGCAGTGCCCAGCTCCAGCCTCGCCCTGCGGAGCGGGCGGTCAGTGCCCAGCAGCGTCCAGCTCCAGCCTCTGCAGGATGCTTCCCGCCTGGTCCCCAGATCGCACAGCCCTGCACCTGTCGGGCGTGGTTGCTCACTCCTCGGTTCCTCCCCCACCAGGTCCCTTCCACAGCCCCAACCCCAGCCCAGGCAGCAGGCTGTGATTTCTATGGACAGATGCCTCCTCCATCTTCCTTATCCCTACCCCAGGTTCCACCACCTTAACCCCCAAGCCCACACCCCACTCGTGTTCCCTGCACCTGGACGCCGAGCCACTGCAGATCTGGCCTCTGTTCGCAGTGGACCAAGCTCTTCGAACACCATCAGAGCGGCTGTGCTCCCAAGCCCACCCAGGTCCCCCCAGGATGGCCACGGAGCCTCCCTCTCGTCCCCGGAAAGGCTGCTCACCCCGGGGTCCTCTGCACCTGCTGCCCCTCTCTTTGGACCAACCCAAGGATCCTCTCCACAGAGATGCCCTCCCACATGGTACACACGGGCCAGCGCCCAGCGCCCAGCACCCAGAGCCCAGAGCCTAGAGCCCAGCGCCCAGCATCCAGAGCCCAGCACCCATCATCCAGAGCCCAGAGCCTAGAGCCCAGCGCCCAGCATCCAGAGCCCAGAGCCCAGCACCCAGCATCCAGCTCCCAGAGCCCAGAGCCCAGCGCCCAGCACCCAGAGCCCAGAGCCTAGAGCCCAGCGCCCAGCATTCAGAGCCCAGAGCCCAGCGCCCGGCATTCAGAGCCCAGCGCCCAGCATCCAGAGCCCAGAGCCCAGAGCCCAGCGCCCAGCATCCAGAGCCCAGCACCCAGCATCCAGAGCCCAGCGCCCAGCATCCAGAGCCCAGCACCCAGCATCCAGAGCCCAGCGCCCAGCATCCAGAGCCCAGCGCCCAGCATCCAGAGCCCAGCACCCAGCATCCAGCTCCCAGAGCCCAGGGCCCAGCATTCAGAGCCCAGAGCCCAGTGCCCAGCATCCAGAGCCCAGCACCCAGCATCCAGAGCCCAGCGCCCAGCATCCAGAGCCCAGAGCCTAGAGCCCCGTGCCCAGCGCCCAGTGATGCCCTGCCAGCCTCCCGAGGAACTGTGTGCGTGTGGCTTTCACATCCTGCAGGCCCCCTGTCACAGTGAGGCCCACCCTGTCCCCAGCTTCACACCAGGAGCCCAAAGTGAAACATGTAACAGTTGAATTCACAAAAGGACGGGGGTTGTGGGGGGAGCACGTACACACTTGGCCAGTGACCCTTACCCGGCCTGCAGACGGGCTGTGCTTGGCCTCCGAGTGTTTAAGAAACATTCCTATTAAAGATCAGGAGGTTTCAAGGTGAAACCCAGATTTCTGGGTGCTCCTTCCCGGCGCCCTGCCCTCCGAATGGGTGCCTGGTCTTTGCCTTCCTGCCCTCCCCAGTGCTTTCCGGCCTCTAGACGCGGGCTGATGCACGCGGACACCAGGCAGCAGAGGCGCCTTCGCTCCGGAGGGAACCTCATCAGGGAAGCGTGTCTGGGCTGCTGCCAGGGCCGCTGGCAGGGGGCGACCTCAGGGCCAGGGCAGGACCGGATGGACCTCCCTCCCAGCCAAGACCCCGGGGCAGGAATCAGGCAGCTCCCGCAGCTCCTACTTCAAGACTTGGGGCTCAGCTGGGAGAAGCCAGGCCGCGGACCCCACACCGGAGTCACCAGCAGGCTGCCCTCAGTCACCTGCAAGCTTTCAAAAAGCACAGCTGTCCAAACGCAGCAAGTGGCACCAAACCCCAGCGCCGGGGCTCTGTGAAGGCGGGTCAGGCCACAGTTCCAGGAGGTGCGGTCGGGATGTCGGGTTCACAGGACTGCCCGGGACTCTGGTTCAAGTCCAGGACTGAAAACCTGGGCCGCGACGCCAGGCCGGGTGGGTTAGAATATGCTCCCCAAGCAAAGGGCAAAGAGGGGACGTCGAGGAGGCCGAGGAGGTGAGGGCAGCAGAGACCCAGGCTGTCCAGACCCCACCCCACGCCCGTCCAGGCCCCCCCCCACACCACCTGTGCCCTGGGCTCAGTCCCAGGAAGAGCGCAGTGATGCAGGGCTGGCCCTGCCCCCTCTGGCCGGGGACTCTCTCTCTGTCCATCTGTCTGATGCCCTCGGTGTTCCCGCAGCTGGGTTGTCCCCAGGGCGCCGGGCAGTCCTTCACCTTCAACTACACGGTTCGCGATTCATACGGGGGCTGAGCCAAGGGCCTCGAGGCTGGACCCTGAAAGTCTCACGAAGTTCAGCTCCCACCCAATCTCCGTCTTCCGTCTCCATCTCCACGACTGATTCCGTCTAATCACAGCTGTAGTCAGCGGGGGCTGAGCTTCCAGGGTCCCTGTGGGTCCCAGGGGGCTCCTCGGCCAGGCTCTGGTCGCCCTGTCGGGCCCCTGGGCACGTGACTTGCAGGAAAGATGCTCCTCCGCTCTCACCGCTGCAGGCCCCTGAGCGGCGGCCTTGCAAGCTCACCACCGACCGGACCGAGGTTCACAGGACTGCTGGCCCACTCCCTCACCCCCACCCCACCCACCGTGTCTCATCTTCACCCCGTCTCTGTCTCCCCCTCCTCCCTTCCATCCTGCTCCTGCTTCACAACAGACACCACTCTGCTCCCAGAAAGTTCTCTAATTTACAGCATCTCTCTCGCTTCTCATTTTGAACCGGGCCTGCACCTGGGGACACTTGCTGAGCTGCCTGGGGTGAGCAGACTTAGGCTCGAATTCAGCCCAGATCAAGAAAAAGAAACTCTCCTTCATGGAGACACAGCACAGGGTCTTCCTTCTCGGGGAGCATGAATCTGGGGGCTCCAGGCTGGCCCTTTACCTGAACCAATGTCACTGCCACCTTTGAAGAAGCGCTGGCCCTGTGAGGGTTGGTGCTACAGGACGTGAGGACAGTCCAGTCGGCAGGACTCCTGCACCTGGGCCTGGGGGCGCCCGCTCCGACAGGAGCAGCTGGGAACCCAGGGCCCCTCCAGCTTGGAGCCAAAGCGTCTGGTCTTCTTCCCATTTGCAGGATGGAATCAGGGACCTTCCTTTATAGCACCAGGATGGGCTTCCCTGGTGGCTCAGATGGTAAAGAATCTGCCTGCAATGCAAGAGACCTGGGTTCGATCCCTGGGTTGGAAAAATCTCCTGTAGAAGGGCATGGCAACGCACTCCAGTATTCTTATCTGGAGAATCCCATGGACAGGGGAGCCTGGAGAGCTACATCCCTTTGGGTTGCAGAGTCAGACATGACTGACCGCCTAACAGTTCCATCAGGACAGACACATAAGCCCAAGTGTCCTCTGGTGTTAGAGTCAAGATGACCTGGCATCTCAGCACCTCGTGCTGAAGGCTCTCGCCGTGACTTGGCGTAGTGAGGCCAGGGTCTGCTCCACGGGGCCACCCAGGGACCTGTTCCTTCCCCTGGCCCGTGGGGCACCTTTGGGGCCTCCCCTCCCAGCGTCCTCCACATGCTGGTCGGCAGAGGCGAGTGGACTGGCTGGGTGCTACCCCCGCCACGTCCCTGGGGCCTGCTCGGTGACGCGGACATCCAGCAGGGACCACCGTGAGGCTGGTCCTCCCCTCAGTGCATGAGGGGCAGCAGGGGACAGCACGGCCAGCCCCGCTCCAGGTCCCTCTGCCTCTCGGGTGCTGACCGTCCTACCCCCAGGGCCAGAGCCGCCAGCATCTCACGCGCCGGGTGGCGGGGGGGGCACAGTGTCTGTGCAGACACGGAGTGGAAATGGGAGTTTGGCCATAACAGGAGGCCGCTGGGCGAGTTCTGTTCTCTGGCCCGGATCCAGGGCAGCTGGACAGGATTGAGCGCCTTAGGCTCCAGCACAGGCCCAGCTAACCGGTCAAAGCTGGGGCGCTCGCCAGGCTCAGCCTGGGATGCAGGGCGGCTGGGCATGGATTTCACAGGATGAGTGATGCCTAGACAGAAAGGATGAGACCGTCCTGACCTGGTGTAGCCATCACCGAAGCTCTCTGAAAACAGATTTTGTCTCTCTCCTCTCAAAGGCTTGGGAGGGCCCCCTCGAGGCCTTGGCTGCCCTTTACCTTCCTGAAGAGCTTCTCAGTGACGAACCGCCATCCCGTGCAGGACACAGGCTTCCTGGGCAGCTGCCCAGAGGGAGGGACAGAGGGCATCTGCAGGCAAGGCCAGAGGGAACCCCCGTCCCCACTAACCATGGGCCACACCAGCTGTGGAGCCCTCACAGGGACCCCCTTCTGCCTTCCGGGTATCCACAGGCTGCCTGGAAGTGGAAGCCCGTCACACAGGGCTGCACCTATAGCACCTATAGCAGGTGCCACTAGAAGAGGCAATTTCCATCCAATGTGGTCACCCTCCTGCGGACCCTGATCACAGGTGGGGGGTGGGGCTAGGGGTCTCGGCCAGTCCCTGGAGCACAAGCCCCACCTCCGTGTCCCAACAGGCGAGCCTGAGAGTTCGTTTGCTTGGCTGTTACCAGCCCCATTGTCCCACTAAATCCGTGCATAAAGCCCGTGAGCCAGCCCCAGCCAGTCAAAGGGTCATGTCCAGAGGCACGGAGCTGGCCTCACCCATAGGCCGCATGCCAGGGTCAGCCCCAGACAGTGCCACCTGCCTGGCATCCCAGACCCTAACCTCAGGCTTTGCTCAAGATGAGGCACTAATCCACATTCACCTCTGGTCCTTTGAGGCCATTTTTAAAGGTAATTCGGGCCAGGGCAGCTGAGACACAAAACCTTGGGCAGGAATGACCTTTGAATCCCGTTGGAGGCGTCGCTAAGGCATCAACAGGTAAACCGTTTCTGCCTGGTCCTGACAACAGTGATTGATAACGGGGAGCTAATCTCCTGCCTTTGTTCTCGGGGGCAAAGGTTTGCCCTGGGCCTTTGAATACGGCCTTTCAACTCCCAGTCCAGTAAATTATAGCAGGACCCAGACAGGAATTAATGCTGGCAGGAAACACCTCCCTGCTCCTGGTCCCCACTGAGACCACAGACGGCGCTGCCCACCCCTCTCCCACACCCGGGAAACAGGAAACCTGCGAAGAGGGCAGTCAGGACGAGAGTTCAACCCTCTGCGAAGGTCCGGCATCTGATCCAAAACAGAAGCGGGAGCTGGGGAACCAGCATGCAATGAGGGGCCCAAGGGGCTCAGATGCCAACCAGGGTGACTGCAGGCACTCGGCCAGTGGGGAGGACTGGACGCGTCAGAGGTGCAGGCGGAATGCGCGCTCCTACGGGCTGAGCCCCTTGGCCCTTCCGCACCCCTGGACATCGTGGGCCTCCTGTCCAGGGCTGTCCTCTTGACCCCTTCCAGGCCAGCTCCCCTAGGGGAGTCCACGCTGGAGCAGCACCACTGACAGATGCCACCAGAGCCTCACCAAAACGTCACAAGGAGCAGAGAGATGGATCTTCACCACACATTTCATTAAACCAACAGAAAGAAAAGGACACATGCACCCTAGGGTCCGCAGCAGCACTGTTCACAAAAGCCAAGACGTGGAAACCACCTAAGTGTCCACCCTCGGGGGATCGGATAAAGAAACTGTGGTATATGCACAATGAAAGACTATATTATGCATGTATAATGAAATATTGTCATAAAAATATGAAATTCTGCCATGTATAGCAACATGAATGAATCTTGAGGGTATCATCCTAAGTTAAACAAGTCAGACGGGGAAACCAGATGCCATATAATCTCAGTTGTATGTGGAACCTAAAAAGCAAACAAAAAACCCAAGTCCTTGGATGTGAAGGACGGATTGGTGGTTGCCAGAGGGGAAGGGGCTGGGGAGCAGTGGCGCGGGTAAAGGGGTTCCCTCTATGCTGACCGGCAGTGGCCAGGTTGGGGGGCCACCCTGCAGTGTGCCCGGATACCACTTACAACCCTGGGCACTTGAAACTTATACTTTCAAAAAATCAATAACTAACTTCATGTTTAAATATAGGTACTTAAAACTGCTAAAATCTTTTTCCTGTTTGGAGGAATAGAAATACTGACAATTTTGGATTTTTTTGAATTAAAAATACAGAAAAAAAATATGTGTGTGTGTGTGTGATCTGTAGAAGGAAAGTGAAAAAACTGGCTTAAAACTCATTCAAAAAACTAAGATCATGGCATCCAGTCCCATCAAGTCGTGGCAAATATATGGGGAAACAATGGAAACAGTGAGAGACTTTATTTTCTTGGGCTCCAAAATCACTGCAGATAGTGACTGCAGCCATGAAATTAAAAGATGCTTGGTCCTTGGAAGAAAAGCTATGACAAACCCAGACAGCATATTAAAAAGCAGAAACATTACTTTGCCAACAAAAGTCCATCTAGTCAAAGCTATGGTTTTTCCAGTAGTCATGTATGAATGTGAGATATGGACCATAAAGAAGTCTGAGCACTGAAGAATTGATGCTTTTGAACTGTGGTGTTAGAGAAGACTCTTGAGAGTCCCTTGGACAGCAAGGAGATCAAACCTGTCCATCCTAAAGGAAGTCAGTCCTGAATATTCATTGGAAGGACTAATGGTGAAGCTGAAGCTCCAATTCTCTAACCACCTGATTCGAAGAGCTGACTCATTAGAAAAGACCCTGATGCTGGGGAAGTTTGAAGTCAGGAGGAGAAGGGGACGACAGAGGATGAGATGGTTGGATGGCATCACAGACTCAGTGGACATGAGTTTGAGCAAGCTCCAGGAGATGGTGAAGGACAGGGAGGCCTGGCGTGCTGCCGTCCACGGGGTCGCAAAGAGTCGAACACGACTGAGCGACAGAACAGCAACAGCGAGATGTATGTATGAAAAACTTAGGGTCAATTTAAAAAGAGAAATTAAAAATTTTAAAAAGGAGAAGAAGAGGAAGTTATTCAGGTCTATCTACCAAAACCATTTGTTGGTGTCATTTGGTAAACAATGGCACAAAAGCTATTTTTAAAATATCATTATAATAATATGTCTAAAAAAGTTTTCCACAAATTTTCGTGGGGAAATATTAAAATATTGAGGAACATTAAAAGATGTGAACAAATGGGAATACACAGTGTTGAGGGATATTCCAGGCTAATATTGTGACCATGGTGATCCCGCCCCTTAAAAGCTGTGAGTTAAATGCCATTCCAATCAGAATCCCTGTCATATGTATCATGGAATCAATAAGCTGATGGTAAAGTGTATTGGAGCAAGGAGCTCGGAATAGCGAGGACCACTTCAGAGGAGGAAGAGGAGCAGGGAGGAGGTGGAGGCAGCTGCCCTGCTGGGCGTTGAGACTGACTCAAAGTCCGTGACGAGGCCGTGGCGCTGGGAGCAGCAGAAGCCGCTGAAGCAGACAGAGAACCCAGAGGCACTTACACAAGTGTCGGGAATTTAGACATTTGACCGAGGTATGAGTGTGTAAACAAAGAATGAACGGTTAACACATAAGGGTGACGTGACGCCAAAAGCAAGGGACAAAAGGAAAAACAGATGAATCAGACTACACCAGAATTAATAGTTCTGTGCTTAGAGAACATGGTCTAGACAGCAAAAAGACAGCCTTCAGAAGGGGGGACAATATTTGCAAATCCTCTCTCTGATAGGGTATTAACATCCAGAATGTGTAAATAGTCCCTACAGCTAAAGAAAACAAAACAAATAAATAACATGGGCAGCTGGACTGTCACTTCTCCAGAGACATGATATGCAAATGGCCAGCGAGCACATGAGAAGGCTCTCCACACCATCAGTCAGCAGGCGGCCTGGAGGAAAGGCACTCCCGAGACACCACCTCACACCGAGCAGGACGGCCATCGTGACTGCTGAAAATGCGAAACGGCGCCTGTCGGTGCAGACATGGAGAGCCTGGAGCCTCACACACATGTGGCGGGTGGGCGTATCGGTGGAGAACCCTTCAGTGCTCCTCTAAAATTTAAACATAGAATTATGAGGTGCCCAGCAGTTTCCTTCCTGGGTGTATACTAAAAAGAATCTGAAGCAAGAACTCGAAAACATGTTTGCACAGTTATGTTCACAACAACCAGAAGATAGAAATAACTCTGGTGTCCACCAGCAGATGATGTCACACACACACACAAGGGAATACTATTCAGCCTTTGTTGTTCTGTTGCTAAGTAGTGTCTGACTTTTTGCAACCTCATGGACTGTGGCACGCCAGGCTTCCCTATCCTTCACTATTCCCAGAGTTTGCTCAAACTCATTTCTATTGAGCCAGTGATACCATCCAACCATCTCATTCTCTGTCATCCCCTTCTCCTGCCCTCAGTGTTTCCCAGCATCAGGGTCTTTTCCAATGAGTCCGTTCTTCACCTCAGGTGGCCGAAGTATTGGAGCTTCAGCTTCAGCATCAGTCCTTCCGATGAATATTCAGGGTTGATTTCCTTTAGAATGGACTTGTTTGATCTCCTCACAGTCCAAGGGACTCTCAAGAGTCTTCTCCAACACCACAGTTCAAATCGATTTTTCAGTGCTCAGACTTATTTATGGTCCAACTCTCACATTCTTAAAAGGAAGGAAAATTTGATTCCTCACCAAAAACTGAGGCCAGGATCCGGGGGTGGAGTCGACTGGCGGTCACCCCCTCACACACCTGCTCCGAGGGCAGCATGTCCCTGGGCTGGCTTTCCCAGGGGGCTCTGGCCCCTGCCCCCTGCATCTGGGATGGCAGGGATGTGAAGGAGAGGACATGCCACCTCCAGGCAGGGAGAGCAGGCCGGCCCTCTGCCCCTACCCCTTCCCTGCCTCGGGCCGGCCAGCAACCCCGCCCATGCCTTGGAAGGTTCAGGGGTGGCTGTCCACGTCCCCACTGCCAGCAGACGGTAGCTAGGACGAGGCTGCCCCACTCGCTGACCTGGCCCCTGCCCCAGAGGATGGTGAAGTGTGAGACCACAGCCTGGGTCCCTGGTTGCCTGCGGCCATGTGAGCCACAGTGCCTGAGGGAGGGACAAGCCCCTGAGCGTGGTGGTCCCACCTGCAGCCACGTCTGCCCTGGGCAGCACGGATGCCCACCGGGGCTGTGCACCCCATGGAGTCCTCCGGGATCACCAGGGCTGGCGTGGGCTCAGCTCCTCCGCTGAGGGTCATCTCCTCCTAGGGCTGCTGTGCTGTGTCCCGGGGACGGTGGGCCCAGAGCTGCAGGGGCCGAGTGGGAATGTCACACACTCCCCGCAGGGCAGCCAAGGGAGGGAGACGGGCTGTGATGGGCAGTGGACGACGGCCGGCTGGGGGCCAGGCAGCTCCAGCTGCAGGTGGTGACGGGTCATCACTGACGACAGCAAGCTGGCCGAGGCAAGACCCAGGGGAGGGTCTGCCCGGTTCCACAGGAGAGTGGGTGGTGCTTAACTGAAGGCCATGACCTCCAGTGACCATAGCTTACCCAGAATTTAGAATTTTACTTGCAGACGAGCTGGCATCCAAGCGCATCTTAGGGTTCCTGCAGCCCTGCCAGCGTTCTCAGGCCAAGTTCCAGCCCAGGGTCCCCAGGCCATGGCCCCCCTCAAGGTGTGGTCAGCGGCCCATGTCCCTCCTCGGGCGGCCAACCAGGAAGCCACAGGAAGTGTCCCACAGGGGATGGCAGGCTGTCGCTGAGAAGCTGCTCAGGAAGTAAAGGGTCTATGGCCTCGAGGGGGCCTCTTTGAGAGCAGGGAGACAATCTCTTTTGAGGGCTCTGGCCGCAGGGGTGAGATCATTTGTGTTTCTAAAGGTGAAATCAGCCCAGAGTCTCCCCAAACCAGGGCGGCGCCCCTCACAGGGCCTGTGACAATGGCTTTTCTGTCTGAGAACTTCACGCCACAATCGGTGGGTGGGGGCCAGTCTGCTCACCCCGTGGATGCCCGGTGGATGCTCTGGATGTGGCCTCTGAGCAGCACCCCTGCGGACAAGTTGAGCTGGGAACCTGGGCCCGGGGCCCTTTGTGGAAAGGCTCTCCGGGAGGGAGGAGCCAGCCCAAGGGTCCAGTCCCTTGTCCTGGCCACGGGGCCGTTCCTCGTGGACCCCAGCATCCCGCCCCTAGGACATCCAGCAGGGCCTTCTATTCACATGGTTTGCTGCCCCCGAAAGCCCCCCAACTTTTGTTTCTCTGTTGGTCTCACCAGAGATAAAGACATATAAGATATAGACCACCAGAGATAAAGATGGATAAGCAGAGTTTCAGTCCCCAAAGTGGGGAGGAAGCCACGAGAAGACCCCTGTTCCTGCGGGATGCAAGGGACCACTCTCCTGGCACCAAGGCTGCTGTGAACATGAACACAGAGGCCCAGGGCACCAGCTGGGCGCACGTCCCACCACTGGAGCTACCGCCAGCGGACCTGGCAGGAGCCACTGTCGCCAGGAGCTGGAGGGAAAATGGATTAAGTGCCAAACAGAGGAGCCCCAAGTCAGCTTCAGGACTCAGTGGTGGGAAGGAGGGGGTGAAGAGGTGAGGGGGGAGCGAGAGGGGGTGTGAGGGGGGACGGAGCGAGAGGTTGGGGGTGGGGGGTTGGTGGTTCCTTTTTCTGGGCTGTGAGCACAGATCTTGCTCTGGCAGCCGAGGCAGGTAAGGGCCGAGGCAGTAAGAGCTGAGGGAATAAGGGCTGAGGCAGTAAGAACTGAGGTAGGTAATGGCTGAGGCAGTAAGGGCTGAGGGAGTAAGGGCTGAGACAGTAAGAACTGAGGTAGGTAATGGCTGAGGCAGTAAGAACTGAGGTAGGTAATGGCTGAGGCAGTAAGGGCTGAGGGATTAAGGGCTGAGGCAGTAAGAACTGAGGTAGGTAATGGCTGAGGCAGTAAGGGCTGAGACAGTAAGAACTGAGGTAGGTAATGGCTGAGGCAGTAAGAACTGAGGTAGGTAATGGCTGAGGCAGTAAGAACTGAGGTAGGTAATGGCTGAGGCAGTAAGGGCTGAGGCAGTAAGAACTGAGGTAGGTAATGGCTGAGGCAGTAAGGGCTGAGGGAGTAAGGGCTGAGGCAGTAAGAACTGAGGTAGGTAATGGCTAAGGCAGTAAGAACTGAGGTAGGTAATGGCTGAGGCAGTAAGAACTGAGGTAGGTAATGGCTGAGACAGTAAGAACTGAGGTAGGTAATGGCTGAAGCAGTAAGGGCTGAGGGAGTAAGGGCTGAGGCAGTAAGAACTGAGGTAGGTAATGGCTGAGGCAGTAAGAACTGAGGTAGGTAATGGCTGAGGCAGTAAGAACTGAGGTAGGTAATGGCTGAGGCAGTAAGGGCTGAGGGAGTAAGGGCTGAGGCAGTAAGAACTGAGGTAGGTAATGGCTGAGGCAGTAAGAACTGAGGTAGGTAATGGCTGAGGCAGTAAGAACTGAGGTAGGTAATGGCTGAGGCAGTAAGAACTGAGGTAGGTAATGGCTGAGGCAGTAAGAACTGAGGTAGGTAATGGCTGAGGCAGTAAGGGCTGAGGGAGTAAGGGCTGAGGCAGTAAGAACTGAGGTAGGTAATGGCTAAGGCAGTAAGAACTGAGGTAGGTAATGGCTGAGGCAGTAAGAACTGAGGTAGGTAATGGCTGAGGCAGTAAGAACTGAGGTAGGTAATGGCTGAGGCAGTAAGAACTGAGGTAGGTAATGGCTGAGGCAGTAAGGGCTGAGGCAGTAAGAACTGAGGTAGGTAATGGCTGAGGCAGTAAGGGCTGAGGGAGTAAGGGCTGAGGCAGTAAGAACTGAGGTAGGTAATGGCTAAGGCAGTAAGAACTGAGGTAGGTAATGGCTGAGGCAGTAAGAACTGAGGTAGGTAATGGCTGAGACAGTAAGAACTGAGGTAGGTAATGGCTGAAGCAGTAAGAACTGAGGTAGGTAATGGCTGAGACAGTAAGAACTGAGGTAGGTAATGGCTGAAGCAGTAAGGGCTGAGGGAGTAAGGGCTGAGGCAGTAAGAACTGAGGTAGGTAATGGCTGAGGCAGTAAGGGCTGAGGGAGTAAGGGCTGAGGCAGTAAGAACTGAGGTAGGTAATGGCTGAGGCGGTAAGGGCTGAGGGAGTAAGGGCTGAGGCAGTAAGAACTGAGGTAGGTAATGGCTGAGGCAGTAAGAACTGAGGTAGGTAATGGCTGAGGCAGTAAGAACTGAGGTAGGTAATGGCTGAGGCAGTAAGAACTGAGGTAGGTAATGGCTGAGGCAGTAAGAACTGAGGTAGGTAATGGCTGAGACAGTAAGAACTGAGGTAGGTAATGGCTGAGGCAGTAAGAACTGAGGTAGGTAATGGCTGAAGCAGTAAGAACTGAGGTAGGTAATGGCTGAGACAGTAAGAACTGAGGTAGGTAATGGCTGAAGCAGTAAGGGCTGAGGGAGTAAGGGCTGAGGCAGTAAGAACTGAGGTAGGTAATGGCTGAGGCAGTAAGGGCTGAGACAGTAAGAGCTGAGGGAATAAGGGCTGAGGCAGTAAGAACTGAGGTAGGTAATGGCTGAGGCAGTAAGAACTGAGGTAGGTAATGGCTGAGGCAGTAAGGGCTGAGGGAGTAAGGGCTGAGGCAGTAAGAGCTGAGGTAGGTAATGGCTGAGGCAGTAAGGGCTGAGACAGTAAGAGCTGAGGGAATAAGGGCTGAGACAGTAAGAGCTGAGGGAATAAGGGCTGAGGCAGTAAGAACTGAGGTAGGTAATGGCTGAGGCAGTAAGGGCTGAGGGAGTAAGGGCTGAGGCAGTAAGAACTGAGGTAGGTAATGGCTGAGGCAGTAAGGGCTGAGACAGTAAGAGCTGAGGGAATAAGGGCTGAGGCAGTAAGAACTGAGGTAGGTAATGGCTGAGGCAGTAAGGGCTGAGGTAGAAAGGGCATAGGTAATAAGGGCTGAAGTGAGGTCCACAGCACAGACTGATGGTGTGAAAGCAAAGGCTCGCCCCCTCTGCTGGGGCTGCAGGTGAAAGTGGGAAAAGACGGACCCGGGCTGGGGAGGCCATCCACTTGGCACTCAGTCTGGGGTCCCCCTCCCCCGTGGGCAAGCCTGGGAGGGAAAATATTAACCAAATCGCAGAGTCAGATCCTTGGTTTGATTGTTGCTTTGGGGATTGTTTACCTTTCAAACAGGCCCACCTGTTCTCGGTAGCACTTTATTTGGGCTGTTGGGGGCATGTTATCTTGCTCAAACATTCCTGTGCTGAGCTGGTTAGTGGGCTGAAGGGAGAGCCAGCTGTCTGAGGACGGAGACCCGCCCCCCCCACCTCCAATTCCCCTCCCCGACCCCTGTCTGGCATCCCTGGGGGACTGGGCTGACTCGAGGCAGCAGGACCCCCTGGTTGGGTATCTCTGTCAGGAGCTTCTAATTTGCACGAATGTTTTCACACCCCTTCCTGATACAGGAACATGTCACCACCTTGTCTCAGCCTCTGCCAAATTGAATGGCAAGTGCGTGTGCAGTGTGTTTTCTGTTTTCTGGGAAAGATAAATAAATAACACTCCCTTTGCATAATGTCTTGGCCCCTGATAGGGAGCTTGCTAAGAGGTGCATCTGACTAACAAGGGGCTCCTCTCCATGTGAATGCTCTGGTCGGGATTATCTTAAAGAAATCCAGGCCAAGGAAGGATTTAGTTTTTTTGATAGAGATTTTATATTGTGACCCTGGAAGCGGAGTCCACAGGGTGGACCTGGCTGATGGAATAAGCCTTCCTGCTCATCCGAGGCCCCGTCACATACCTAAAAACACACCTCACACCAGTCCCTCCGTCCAGAGCGCACTGGTCCCCAGCGCTGCCTGGGCAGAGGGCCTGGGCCGTGTTGTCCTGCACATGGACGGCAGGTCCTCCTGATGGAACGAGAGACTTTCCAAGCACATGAGCCCTGGGCAGAGCTGAGCACACAGACAGCGGCTGGTCACACTGTTAGTCGCAGATTCGCACAGGCTGCACCCGTGTTCACAGAGGCCTCTTCATGAAGCAGCCTTTACAACATGGAGGAGACCGGTCTGCTCTGCTCAGCCCTCAGCCGCGGATCACCCGATCCTGGTGGTTCACCCACCGCCAGGCCCCTCCGCACACATGCCCCAGTGGGCCGAGGTCCTTCTGGCTGGTGGCCCGTTCTGAGTGGGTCCTGCCTGGTGCCTCTGCTTCCGGTTCTTCTGTCGTGCGGCTCCTACCCCATGCAGGTTGGAGGCGGCAGCACAGACCCTGCCCGGAGAAACCCTGGTTCAGCCCCCAGGGCTGCCGCCATGGGGCCAGCTCTCACCATCAGCAGTGCTTTGCCCCTTTGGAAGAATGGCAGCATTGAAGTTTAAAGCTCACATCCTCATCAGAAAGCACTGTTGACTTTAAACAAAAATGTCTCAGGAGTCTCCGACGGGATGGCACACAGGTGCTGGGCCCCACCCACCCACGCTTGCAGCCTCGTCAGATCCATCACCCACCCTTACGACTGACTGGAGAGGCGTGCAATCCTGCCCAGCTGTTTACGGAGGAGGTTCCGGGGGAGGAAATGCCATCAGATCAGCAGATCCCAACTGGCGGATGCTCCCACCGCCCCCACCTTGAGGTGAAGTGTTTATTGCCAGCTTCACTGCACTGCACAGGAGACAAATAAATAGCCTAGAAGTTAGTGTCTATAGCCCATTCACACCACCTCCGTGACACACAACATATCAAAAACTGAGTCCTGAGTTAGGTGCTGGAGGGTTATGAATCCAGACCCAGGCGTGGGCTCCCCACACCCAGTCCAGGTCCAGTGGAAGATACTGTGTAAAAGGCAAGATGGCTCCCCTTAGTGGTGAGTGCCTGCTCCATCCTAAGAGGCAGGACTCTCTGCTCCCCTTGGTTTCCAGTCACCACAAATTCGTAATGTGATTCTGCAGAGCTGAAAGGCAACAAGCAAGCTTCGGAAAGGAAGGTGGCAGGGATCAATGGACTTACTGTGGCTGCTGCTCGGTCTCCGGTCCCTCACTCTGCTGTTGCCATGGAGACCGGCAGCAGGCAGGTTGTCTGACAGGAGGCATCTGTGAACTTAGATGTCCTACTTACTTGTTTTCTAGCTATTTCTTAGGTTTTTTTTTTTTAAAGGGCTTTAAAAGTACTCAACCCATCTACTTAAATTTATTGACAGTGTTTATCCAATCTTCTGACTTCCTACATACCAACCTCTGTGCCCTGTCGCTTTAAGACGCTTGCTTTGTTTAAGATGAACGTATTGCATGTCACTTCCTTCATTAAAACATATATCTATCTTTTTTCAAACTCAGAGAAAAAACGTCCACTTTTAAATATGGCATGTCTGCACATCTCTGTGTTTTTTGCCATGAAGTTTTGTTAAATGAATTCAAGAGGCTGTTGAACTTCAAATGCTTGAAAAAACACTATGTCCTTATGGAACATTAGATCCTCAATAATACATGCTACAGAGCTCAACCAAACTAATTACATATCAAAATAAAATTCAAAATCTTTTAAAAAGCTGGTTTCAAAAGTATGTATTTGCTTTACCTCTTAACTGATACAGAGATTTAAAAAAAATAATAGTAATCTTCAGTGAAGCTGAAACAGTATTTGATAAAATTTGGTATTAAAAGCTTTAATAAAATAAGATTATATAAATATTTTCTTAACATGGCAAAATATATCTATCTCAGCCCAAAGACATTATGAAGAGAAAATAATAATGATAAAGAAACAACATGGGACCTTTAATCATTAAGAAAAAAAGAAACTTAAATGCTGCAAACCAACTTGTAATGATGTTATCTGTTTGATTGGAATAATTATCACTTCTGTCTAATTCACCTCCCCTGGATTCTAGATATTGCAAACTGCAAGTTTCATATTCATGGCATTCAGCTTACCTGAAACACTGTGGGGCATATTTGTTTTTTAAAAAAGGAGAGAATAATGACCAACCAAACTAAAAAAAAAGGAACATTTAATAAGATATCAGGGTATAAAATTAAAAGAGATAAGCTAATAACTTTAAAAGATATAATGAAAGAAGTTAACCTCCCATTTAATTATCCAAAGACAAAGTTTCTCAGAATAAACCTAAGAAGTTAAGAAATTAGAAACACTTTTAAATGCCCTAAAGAATTCATACAAGAAAACATGACAAGTGGAGAGACTTCCCATCGTCCTCACAGGAGGACTCAGCAACACAGGCTGCAGTCTCCACACCTGTTCTATAAATTAATGCAATAGCCACAAAAATAAGGATGGATTCAGGTTTTTCTGAATATTTGATTTTGAATTTTTTATCATGAGAAGCTGACTCAATTCAGGTCACTTCAGTTGTGTCCAAATCTGCAACCCCATGGACTGCAGCACCCTAGGCCTCCCTGTCCATCACCAGCTCTCAGAGCTTGCTTAAGCTCATGTCCATTGGGTGAGTAATGCCATCCGACCATCTCATCCTCTATCGCCCCCTTCTCCTCCCGCCTTCAGTCTTTCCCAGCATCAGGGTCTTTTCTAAGGTCTCAGTTCTTCGAATCAGGTGGCCAAAGTCACTGGAGCTTCAGCTTTAGTATCAGTCCTTCCAATGAATATTCAGGACTGATTTCCTTCAGGATGGACTGATTTGACCTCCTTGCAGTCCAGGGGACTCTCAAGAGTCTTCTCCAACACCACAGTTCAAAAGCATCAGTTGGTCGGCGATCAGCCTTCTTTATGATCCAACTCTCACATCCATACATGCCTACTGGAAAAACCATAGTTATGACTATGCAGACGTTTGTTGGCAAAGTAATGTCTCTGCCTTTTAATATGCTGTCTAGATTGGCCATAGCTTTTGTTCCAAGGGGAAAGCATCTTTTAATTTCATGACTCCAGTCACCATCTGCAGTGATTTTGGAGCCCAAGAAAATAAAGTCTGTCACTGTTTCCATTGCTTCCCTATCTATTTGCCATGAAGTAATGGGACCAGATGCCCTGATTTTAATTTTTTGAACGTTGAGTTTTAAGCCAGCTTTTTCACTCTCTTCTTTCACCTTCATCAAGAGGCGCTTTAGTTCCTCATCACTTTCTGCCATAAGGGTGGTGTCATCGGCATATCTGAGGTTATTGATATTTCCACTGGCAATCTTGATTCCAGCCTGCGCTTCATCCAGCCTGGCAGTTCCCATGATGTACTGTGCATAGAAGTTAAATAAGCAGGGTGACAATATACAGCCTTGACTTACTCCTTTTCCAATTTGGAACCAGTCTCTTGTTCCATGTCCATTTTTAACTGTTGCTTCTTGACCTGCATACAGATTTCTCAGGAGGCAGGTGAGGGGGTCTGGTAGACCCCATCTATTGATCTATAGATTCCCATCTATTGAATAATTTTCCACAGTTTGTTGTGATCCACACAGTCAAAGGCTTTAGCATAATCAATGAAGCAGAAGTAGATGTTTTGCTGGAACTCTCTCAGTTTTTCTATGAACCAACGGATGTTTGCCATTTGATCTGTGGTTCCTCTACCTTTTCTAAATCCAGCTTGAACATTTGGAAGTTCTCGGTTCACATACTGTTGAAGCCTAGCCTGAAGAATTTTGAGCATTACTTTGCTAGCATGTGAGATGAGTGCAATTGTGAGGCAGTTTGAACATTCTTTGGCATTGCCTTTCTTTGGGATTGGAATGAAAACTGACCTTTCAAGTCCTGTGGCCACTGCTGAGTTTTCCAAATGGGCTGGCATATTGAGTGCAGCAATTCACAGCATCATCTTTCAGGATTTGAAAGAGTTCAACTTGAATTCCATCACCTCCATTAGCTTTGTTTGTAGTGATGCTTCCTAAGGCCCACCTGATTTCACAGTCCAGGATGCCTGGCTCTAGGTAAGTGATTGCACCATCATGGTTATCTGGGTCATTAAGATCTTTTTTTATACAGTTCTTCTGTGTTTTCTTGCCACCTCTTCTTATATCTTCTGCTTCTGTTAGGTCCATACCGTTTCTGTCCTTTATTGTGCCCATCTTTGCATGAAATGTTCCCCTTGGTATCTTTAATTTTCTTGAAGAGATCTCTGCTGCTGCTGCTGCTAAGTCACTTCAGTCATGTCTGACTCTGTGCGACCCCATAGACGGCAGCCCACCAGGCCCCTCTCTCCCTGGGATTCTCCAGGCAAGAACACTGGGGTGGGTTGCCATTGCCTTCTCCAGAAGAAATCTCTAGTCTTTCCCATTCTGTTGTTTTCCTCTATTTCTTTGCAATAATCACTGAGGAATGCTTTCTTATCTATCCTTGCTATTCTTTGGAACTCTGCATTAAGATGGGTATATCTTTCCTTTTCTCCTTTGCCTTTTGCTTCTCATCTTTCCTCAACTATGTGTAAGGCCTCCTCAGACAACCATTTTGCCTTTTTTGCATTTCTTTTTCTTAGGGATGGTTTTGATCACTGTCTCCTGTACAGTATTACGAACCTCCATCCATAGCTCTTCAGGCACTCTATCAGATCTAATCTCTTGAATCTGTTTATCACTTCCACTGTATTATCATAAAGGATATGATTTAGGTCATACCTGAATGGTCTAGTGGTTTTCCCTACTTTCTTCAATTTAAGTCTGAATTTGGCAGTAAGGAGTTCATGGTCTGAACCACAGTCAGTTCCTGGTCTTGTTTTTGCTGACTGCATAGAGCGTCTCCATCTTTGGCTGTGAAGAATATAATCAATCTGATTTCAGTATTGACCATCTGGTGATGTCCATGTGTAGAGTCTTCTCTTGTGTTTTTGGAAGAGGGTGTTTGCTATAACCAGTGCATTCTCTTGGCAAAACTCTGTTAGCCTTTGCCCTGCTTCATTCTGTACTACAAGACCAAATTTGCCTGTTACTCTAGGTATCTCTTGACTCCTTACTTTTGCATTCCAGTCCCCTAGGATGAAAAGGACATCTTTTTTGGTGTTAGTTCTGGAAGGTCTTGTAGGTCTTCATAGAACTGTTCAACTTCAGCTCCTTGGGGAATCAGTGGTTAGGACATAGACTTGCATTACTGTGAAACTGAATGGTTTGCCTTGAAAACAAACAGAGATCATTCTGTCATTTAAGACTGCACCCAAATACTGCATTTCAGACTCTTCTGTTGACTATGGGGGCTTCTCCATTTCTTCTAAGGGATTCTTGCCCACAGTATAGATATAATGGTCATCTGAATTAAATTCACCCATTCCTGTGTATTTTATTTCACTTATTCCTAAAATGTCAATGTTCACTCTTGCCATCTCCTGTTTGACCACTTCAAATATACCTTGATTCATCGACCTAACATTCCAGGTTTCTGGGCAATATTGTTCTTTACAGCATCAGACTTTACTTCCATTACCAGTCACATCCACAACTGGGTGCTGCTTTCGCTTTGGCTCAGCCTCTTCGTTCTTTTTTTTAAATTAATTAATTTATTTTAATTGAAGTCTAATTACTTTACAATATCATGGTGGTTTTTGCCGGACATTGACATGAATCACCCATGGGTGCACATGTGTCCCCCCATCCTGAACCCCCCTCCTGCCTCCCTCCCCACCCCATCCCTCTGGGTTGTCCCAGAGCACTAACATTGGGTGCCCCACTTCATGCATTGAACTTGCACTGGTCGTCTGTTTGACATGTGCTAATATACATGTTTCAATGCTATGCTCTCAAATCATCCCACCCTCACCTTCTCCCAGAGTCCAGAGTCTGTTCTTTACATCTGTGTCTCTTTTGCTGTCTTGCATATAGTGTCATCATTGCCATCTTTCTAAATCCCATATATATGTGTTAATATACTGTATTTCTGTCTCTTCATTTTTTTCTGGAGCTATTTCTCTGCTCTTCTCCAATAGCATATTGGAGAATATAACTAGACAATTTGATTCTAAAGTTCAAATAGAAAAAGTAACAAGTAGAGGTAGGAAAATCGTGTTAGTTATTAGACCACTGCTGTGCTGAAAATGTGGTAAATTAGTATGTAGTTATGGTGACATCTCAGATCAGTAGTGAAAAAGGGACTGGGGTAAATGGCTTTAAAACAGCTCAGCAGCTCTCCAACAAAGTGAATAATAAAAGACAAAAGCCACACCCACATCTCACACTGTACATCAAAACTGATTCTAAATGAATCAGATATTTAAACATAAAATCATAAAAGTACTAACAGAAATCATGGGCAAGTTCCTATATAATCTTGGAGTCAAGGAAAGACTCTTCTAATTAAAACTGAAAATCCAAATGAAACAAAAAAAAGATTTATAAATTCAACTACACCAAGATAAAAACCTCTGCATAAAATCTAACATCAGCAAACTAAGAAGCAAATCAATGAGAAAATGTGTGTGTGTGTGTGTGTGTGTATTCTTCTGCTATCACAAGCTTAGTATATAATCCTTAGTATATAAAGAGCTTCTGAAATCAATAAGAAAGGTAAAGATCTATAACCCAATAGGTAAGTGGGCAAAAACCGTTAACTAGATAGTCAGGGGAAAAATATAAACAGAATCTCCACCATATTATAATAGGAAAACTATTAGATTGGCAAAAGTCCTTTCCTGGAATCAACCAGAGAAGAGATCAGAGCTGTCAATCAAAGTGAGTAGACATGGGGACTTTGTGCTGCTTCTGTGGAGGCAGCCTGGCCACGCTCGGACTCCTCTGTCTGGAGCCTGTGTGTTTGCTGCCCCAGCACAGAGGGAGCGGCGGGTTTTGACCTGCTCCCTCCACCTCAGTGCCCACTGGGACCCAAGCATGTGATGGGCCCGAAGGTGGTCACCGGTGAGTGAGGGAGTCAGGCAGACGCTGCCTCGCCAGCAGCCAGTTGGTCTGAAAACCATGCCCCCCACTACATCCTCAGGAAACAGACCTCCTGTCCTGAATGTCCTAGAAGAGAGGGGCTGGCGGGGACAAGTTGACCGCTTCCTCTCAGACCCGTGGGCAGGTCCTGGTGGCCACAGTGGCAGACCCACCGGGTTCACAGAGCCGCTGACCCACGTGAAATGACGGTGAGAACATGGGGGCCTCGGGGGTGACAAACACCACGGAGCAGGGTGCACATGTGGGCCTCCCGCATGGGTGGGCATCCTCCTCAGGGTGGAAATGTCCTGGGGCCTTGGCGCTCAGGTGCCCGCAGAAGGTGGAGGAACCTTGGGGATTCAGCCAACAGAGCCGAGCACCCGGGCCCTCAGGGGTCCCCGGGCGGCCAGAGGGCTGGGGGTGCAGAGGGGAGGGGCCCCCAGGGGTGTGTGACAGGCACAGCAACAGGGTTGGACGTGCAGCGGCCATCTGGACACAGTGGCCTGCACCAGCTCCGCAGGCAGCAACACCCCCGCGTTTGTCCTGCTGGTGTCCACTCTCACACCTTCCTGCGTTCCTGCTGCGTGGTGACAAACAGCACGAAGCAAACGGGCCTCCTACTGGCCTCAGGTGCTCCCAGCAGCTGTCCTGAGTCCCCGCCCCAGATGCGACAGTCAGACTCAGACTCGGGCCCCTCATTTATAGGTAAGCGAGGCCGACCCTCCCCAGAGGAAGAAGGGAGGACGGAGCCAGCTGGCGCCGCACCCTGAGGTGCATGCCCCCAAGGTTCCTGGCAGCGCCGTCCTCTGCTGACCAGGGCCCTCATGGCCGCCAGCCCCACCTGGACGTCCCCACGCTCAGCCTCCCCTCTGATCTCTCTCCATTCCCTTCCTGCTGCATCCGCTGCACTCAGCTGTTTGCACCCGTTTCACCAGGCTTCTTCCTCCTGGGAACCCTCTGCACCATGCTTTCCCTCCCTCCTCTGAGGTCAGGAGTTTCGCCTGGGGCTCCTCACCCCCGTCCCTCTCACCTGCTCCAGCACCCCCTTCCTGACTCTGCAGCTTCTCCAGCAGACATGCTTAGCCCCGAGTTGCAGTGGTTCCCCCGGCCCCCCACTGAGCTCTCCCCAGAGCCCCTGCCAACGTCTCCCCTTCTCCGCCAACCCCCAAGGCACAGTCCGTGCTTCCTGCCTCCCGCACCCTCCCACCCGCCTGACCCTGACTGCCGGGGCCGTGGCTGTGCCTGGGCCACTTCAAGGGACATTTCTGGGCCGCGCTCTCCTTGAACCCTCGGCCTCCCCGCTGCCGCAGCTGGGCCTCCTCGGCCTTCCTTGCTCTGCTTTGTTCCGTCTGTCATTCCTCTCGGGGCCTGTCCTCGCCCCTCTCCTCACTCAGCAGCCCCCAGGGCCAATGTGATGACTCCAGCCCAGACTACAGGTGGAGGAGAGGGAGACAGCGGGAGCTTAGGAAATCTGGGGATCCTGCTCACCGCAGACTCAGTGTCTTTCGGAAGGCACTTCCTGCCTTTGTCTCTGTGGCCTTTCGGGATTCTTCAGTCTCCCTGGTAGAATGTCTTCCCCATGGTGGAATGAAATACTTCTTTTTTAATTAGCTATGTCATTTTAGTATGTAACTTTCATCTAGGGGGCTTCCCTGATAGCTCAGTTGGTAAAGAATCCGCCTGCAATGCAGGAGACTCTGGTTCAACTCCTAGGTCGGGAAGGTCTCCTGGAGAAGGGAGGCAAACCACTCCAGTATTCTGGCCTGGAAAATTCCATGGGGTTGCAAAGAGTTGGACACGGCTGAGAGACTTTCACTTTCACTTTCACCTAAGCCAGAGAAATCACAATTATCAACTACTACAAGGAAGAGAAAAAGCAAGAGAGTTCCAGAAAAACATCTACTTCTGCTTTATTGACTATGCCAAAGGCTTTAACTGTGTGGATCACAACAAACTGTGTAAAATTATTCAAGAGATGGGAATACCAGACCACCTCACCTGCCTCCTGAGAAAACTGTATGCAGGTCAAGAAGCAACAGTTAGAACCAGACATGGAACAACAGACTGGTTCCAAATTGAGAAAGGAGTATGTCAAGACTGCATATTGTCACCCTGCTTATTTAACTTATATGCTGAGTACATCATGAGAAACACCAGGTTGGATGAAGCACAAGCTGGAATCCATATTGCCAGGGGAACTAGCAATAACCTTAGATATGCAGACGACACCACTCTAATGGCAGAAGGCAAGGAAGAACTAAAGAGCCTCTTGATGAAGGTGAAAGAAGAGAGTGAAAAAGTTGACTTAAAACTCAACACTCATAAAACTAAGATCATGACATCTGGTTCCATCACTTCAGGGCAAATAGATGGGGAAACAATGGAAACAAGTGAGAGTCTATTTTTCTGGGCTCCAAAATCACTGCAGATGGTGACTGCAGCCATGAAATTAAAAGACGCTTGCTCCTTGGAACAAAAGCTATGACAAACCTAGACAGCATATTAAAAAGCAGAGACATTACTTTGCTGACAAAGGTTAGTCTAGTCAAAGCTATGGTTTTTCCTGTAGTTAGGTATGGATGTGAAAGTTGGACCATAAAGACAGCTGAGCACCGAAGAATTGATGCTTTTGAATTGTGGTGCTGGAGAAGACTCTTGACAGCCCCTTGGACTGCAAGGAGATCCAGCCAGTCCATCCTAAAGGAAATCAGTCCTGAGTATTCACTGGAAGGACTGATGCTGAAGCTAAAACTCCAATACTTTGACCACCTGATTCGAAGAACTGACTCATTGGAAAAGATCTTGATGCTGGGAAAGATTGAAGGCAGGAGGAGAAGGGGATGACAGAGGATGAGATGGTTGGATGGCATCACCGACTCAATGGACATGAGTTTGAGCAAACTCCGGGAGTTGGTGATGGACAGGGAGGCCTGGCGTGCTGCAGTCCATGGGGTCGCAAAGAGTCGGACATGACTGAGCAACTGAACTGAACAAGGAAGAAGAGAAGGAAATGAGCGGAAACACATGAGCAACTGAACTGAACAAGGAAGAAGAGAAGGAAATGAGCGGAAACACAGGAATCTGACCCAGTAAGAACCGGGACCTCCGGGTGCATCCTCTACCTGTAAAGCAGCGGGGTTGTCTTCACAGGGCTGCTGGGGGAATTCATTCGGGATAATCCACTTGTGAAGCTCTCTAGAAACAGAGTTACTGTCTGATGGAGACGAGAGGTCACATCGTAGGGCCACACTGACCAGGGTGTGACCGAGCCCATGCCGGCCATGCACCCTGTGGGGAAGGACCAGCCCCACCGAGGCGCTCCCTCCCACCGGAGGAGGCAACTTCCCCAGGCCTCCTCAGTCCTGAAGGAGCAGTCCTACCCAGGGGAGGGGAGGGCGTGGACATGGACGCATGAGGACCACGAGGCGCCCTGGAAGGAACACCGCCCCAGTCCTTACACCTGTACTGGGCCACCAGGCTGTAATCCGCGCGTCAGGGCTGCTCAAAGGTGGCTTTTACGAACATAATCTAAACCACTCTTCCTTTAAAGGAGTCAAATGACACATCAGAACTTTCTGCTTCAACCAGGCTCTTGGGAAAGATTTCAAATCTGATCTTGGACCCTTTACGGGTCCCTAATTAACTCACTCTGGTGCCCCATTCCCGGGTCCTGGGTCCCTGAAAATGTTCATTCCCTGGAGGTGAAACCTGACTCTAACACTAGGGCATGCACACCGCCTGGGGATGCAGTTTGGCTGGAGTTACTTAGTGCGGCTGTAAACTGGCTATGGCCATGCTCTCGGGAGGCCTGCAACCCTGCGGGCTCCACTCAACATCCCAACCACCCTGCAATGCCGGGTGGGGGTTGGTCTCTGCACCTCATAATAAAGGTGAGCTTAGGAGACCTTCCCACAGCAAATCCTGAACGCTGTCCTCTGTAGGAAGTCAACCCATCTGCACACAAAGCTTCTCCCGGGCAGACTGCTCTCAGCCTCGCGGATCAGCCTGCTGGGCTGACCTCCCAGGGATTGAGCGCCTGTCTCCACTGGAACCTGCCCGGCTGATGGAAACTCAAGGCCGGGGACAGGCAAGGCAGGAGGAGGGGACAGGCAAGGCAGGAGGAGAGGACGGGGCCGGTCCCACTGGATCAAAGACGCCGGCCCTTCCCTCCAGGTGCCCTTCCGCAGGCGCCCCGGCCCGGCTTTGCTAAAGAGCGCCACCCCGCGTCCAGATAGAGGAAGCACAACCCCACGAAACGCCCAGCAAGTCACCAACAGCGGTAACAGAGCTCAGAGCATCTCTGACGTGAGAAACCCAATGTTTAGTCACAGGAGCAGATTCCCCACGGAATCCCCGGGAAAGGGTCCCCCGACCCCCTCCACCCCGCGTCCCACGTTGAGGGCCAGCACAGGCAGGGCCTGCTCGCAGTCGGCTCCGCCTTGTTGGCAGATCGTCCCGAGGGCACCGCCCGGGCCGGGCAGGGCTATTCTTAGCTCAGCAGAAGGACTAGGACTTAAGAGGCGGCAGCTGTGTCCTGTCCCCCTCGTGCGCAGAAACGTCTGCAGAGACTCGGGGTGGGGGCCTTCTCCGCACGCGCGGGGCGTGACTGCCTCCGAGTCTCCGCACCGTCTTTCCTCCGGGCCTCGCGGAAGGCCGGCAGGACTGACGGACCGTCGCCCCGGTCAGGAGGGGCTGGCGCGCCTCGCACGTGCTCAGCACAGCACCCTAACCGGGAGGGGTGCTCCTCTCCACACGCCTCCCGAGAGAAAGCTCGGGGAGAAGGGCCGAGCCCGTGACTGATAGACGGAGCCAGGCTCTAGTCTGGGCGTGTCTGGCATCGAGCCCGGGGCCTCCGCCGGGCCCCCACGGCGGCAGCAGCCGCTCCCTCGCGGCCTCACCCTGAACAGCTCGGAGAGCTTGCTGCCTTGCGTGGGGACCAGATCTAGCTAACCTTCACCTCCGTCCTTTCCCCAGCAATTCCGTCGGAGGTACGTACTAGGCTGCCAGAGGATGTAGAGAGTCTGGGGAGCCTGGCGCAGACCCCCAGGCATCAGGAGCCTCTGGCCACTTCTCAACTGTGACTGTCGATGTCACACCACGGCCCCTCAGAGCCAGCCCCAGCTTCACCGCGACTCCTGCTGGCGGAACGGTGCTCAGCTGGCCCCCTCCTCCTGCCCCCCACCCTGCCCCCCGCCCAAGGGTCAGAGCCCACTCGGGACCTCCTCTGAGAACACTGGCCTTCGCCCCCTTGGCTGTGGCTGCTGCCCGGGGGAACTCAGGGATGCATCTGACAGAGGCAGGGGCTTCCCTCCAGGAGCAGGTGGTTGGCAGGACACAGGCTGCAGGGAGGGGTGGACTCTGTGGACAGGGCCCGGCCTGCATCAGGCAGGAGTGATGCAGCCTCCCCCAGGGCAGGCAGGCGGGCAGCAGCCATGTGCCCAGTGCCCGGCCCCCAGCCAGTGGAGTGCTCATCATAGGTGTCGTGTGGCTGCCATCTGCTGCCCAGGACCCGCGGGAAAGGCCTGTAGACACGGTGACACCAAGGACCCATGCTGCTCTCTGCGGGAGGCCCAGGCTGCAACCCTGGGACACGTGGACAGCACCCCTGGAGGTGGGCATCTGGTCACACTCTCCCGTGGGAACTCAGCCCACCTAGAAAGCCAGGTGGGACACGTGAGGGTGGCGGGCAGGATAGGAGACCATCTCCGGGGGGATCGGGTGGAGGACTGACTCTGAGGGCCTGGGGTTGGACATTTGAGGAGGGTTTTGGTGAGTGGACATGGCCTGTGTGGTGCTGGTGCTGAGCTGTCCAGGGGACCAGGGTCTGGGAACCATCAGCGTAAAAGGAAGAGAAAAACAGCCTGTAATTCAGAGCAGAGCCCACTGCGCCCTCTGTGGGCTCTCAAGTGTGGGGCTGCTCACCTTGTGGGTGCACAGAACTTCCTTAAACAGAAGCCATTTGGTCAGACATCTAGGGTGACAGGGGCTTCCCTGGTGGCTCACCAGGGAATCTGCCTGCAGTGCAGGAGACCTGGGTTCGATTCCTGGGTCAGGAAGATCCCCTGGAGAAGGGATAGGCTACCCACTCCAGTATTCTTGCCTGGAGAATCCCATGGACACAGGAGCCTGGCGGGCTGCAGCCCATGAGGTGGCACAGTCGGCACAACTGAGTGACCTAACACTTTCGCTTTCTAGGTTGACAGAAATGAGACCTCCTGGAACAGTTCAAACAGGAGAAATTCCTTGGGGCCTGATAAGTAGGTGGAGGTTGTTTACTAAGACGGGAGAGACTTGGGGAGAAGACACACACACACCGAGATGCTGTTCAGGGGCTGGGATTAATAAAATGAAAGAAACTGAGTCTCCTTGAACAGTCAGGGGACAGCGAGTGAGAAGCTGCATCAGGGAGAGAAAGCAGCCCATGGAGCAAGCGCACTGGCGTCAGAATCCCCATCGGCCCACGAGGAAGCCCTGAGACAGGAGTGGCTGGTCTGCTCAGGAAGCGACGCTGACGCCCAAAGGCAGGGGTCTCTCTGGGCCTGCCCGCCGGCCTGGTCCTGTGACGGTTGCAGGCAGAGCTGGTCAGAGAGACACAGCCGAGAGGCCTCTGGTGGCTACCGCGTCCCAGAGCCCCCTAGACAGGTAGGCAGGGCCGCGCTGAGGCCGCCCTCCATCCGTGGAAGGGCTGGGGGCCTGGCTGCGAGCAGACAAGCAGCAGAGTGACCCGACCCTTCTGTGGCCCCGGCCCCAGCTCAGACCTGGACCTCGCTGTGAAGGACGGTGGGTCCCCCAGCCCTCGGCTGTGGCAGGAAGGACGAGTAGAAGCAGGCAGAATGAACTCTTTCCATGACCCTGAAGCCGGTAGCGCACTGAGAGCCACAGGGGGTCACGCAGCCTGCGGAGCAGAGGGGTGGCGGCAGGGAAGCCCGGACAGGGGCCTACGTAATCAGACACGCCTCCGACTGCGATGCTGCTCCGGGACAGATCGTCACAGCTCGGGTCTCTGGTCAGCAGCCCCGGGCAGGCACCCCGCCACGCTCCTGGGCCGAGCCCACAGCAGCACCCTGCTTCTGTCTCCACAGCCTCGTGAGGGCTCTGCCAAGTCTCCAGGGGTCAGCAGAGCCTGGAACCCACGGCCCCCTCGTCCACACGGCACCGTCAATGGTGTGACACAGGCAGCAAACACGGCGGCCGACATGGCCTGATGGAGCGTGGACGGCCACAGGCTACAGTGTAAACCGAGCACCTAGCAGGTCCGGACGCCCTCCCCGGGCACGGGCAGGCAAGCACCTCACCTGCCACCCGGGCAGAGGAGACACCCAGGGGGCCTCTGTGTCCTGGAAGCAGCGTCTACAGGACTGGCCCCGGCTATGGGGCCGCTAACCGGTTCACCTACCAAGTGGCCGGTCTCGCGTGAGACCCAGAGTAAGACCTGCAGGTGGACATGAAGACGGCCCTCACCCTGTGGACTGGGTGCTGCCAGGCCTGGTGGACACGCGTCCGTGTGGACACGGGGGCCAGGTGGAATCACACACAGGCCCACAGCACAGACTGAGGCTCCCGGGCAAAGCCTCGCAGTTCCTGTCCTTGTGAGAGCCAGCTCCCTGCTGCTCTCGGACCCCACACAGGCCAGGACCCGACCCCCAGGACCCAGGGGCCCTGCACAGACCAGGACTCCACCTCTGCCCGGGGCTCCAAGTTTCCTCCTGATGGAGCCAGTCGAGGCGCCTCTGAGCCTTCGGCCATCAGGTGGCCCCCCTCGAGAACCCCCTTCTCCAGCTGCCGACGCCCCCACCGCGCAACAGCTGGCTCCGCTGGCTCCGAGGCGGGGGTCACAGAGCCACAGGCTCACTCCTCATGTGTGCCTACTGTAATGGCTGCCCAAAGCGTGAAGAGTTCTGTGATTTCTGCAGAGTCCACAGACACCACCTGCAGGGCAGAGCTGCAGTGCCCAGCCGCAGGGCGGGCCCAGGACAGCGGGGGCGGGGCCGCTGCAGGTCAAGCACCAGGAAGGACCACATGGTGAGGGGACACCCACGGGAAGCACGCCGGGTCAGTGAGGTCAGCAGTCAGGGGCCAAGGGAAACGAGCCTGGGGGCCGACACGAGGGGGTTGGAGGGGTGCAGGGTCATGAGGAAGAGGTAGGGCCCGCCCCCGGCATCAGGTGACGCAGGGACCCCCCAGCCCGTCACGTCAGCCACTGGTGCTCAGCAAGGAGGGTGGCATCCACTCAGCACACGCTCCAGTCCCTGGAGGACGCGGCAGGGACGGCGGTGCTCACAGCTGTGTCCCCGCTGAGAGGTCCACAGTCCCGGCGGCGGGTGCGGGGGGCAACCTCCGGCCTGCTGGAGCCATGGCCAGGGGCGGTGCACTGGCTGCCCGCTGGCCTGGAGGCTTCTGTTCTCAAGAAAACGCTGCCACAGATGGGCCCTCTCGGCAGCCTTGCCAGGGAAGCAAAGGACAAAGGGCTATGACTGGGGGCCTGCTCCCCACGCCCCTGGGGACAGCTGCAGCCCAGGCGGGGGCCTTGGGAAAACTCTCAGCATTCCCATCTCCAGGGGTAAAAGGCAATGGACAACTAGTTCCCAGAACTAGGGGGTTTCTAGGGGGAAAGCTCTTTGAGGAGTGAGGTTTGGGTCAACCTACCAGGTGAGGACTGGCGACCAGAGGCCAGTGGCTGAGGGAGGCGGCGGCGGCAAGACAGGAAGGCTCCTCAGCCCAGCGGCCAGCCCGGCCTCGGGTCCCGTGGTCACCACGCAGCCCCAGCTGCTTCTTCCCTGCCCCCCAACCCATTCCAGCACCAACACCAGCAGTTTTACGAGTGGTTATCCTCCAAATCACAATTGTAACTTGAGTCCAGCCTGGGAGGGGGGGCAATGGTGTGGGGGGCTTGAGTCACAGCAGACAGAAGTGGGAGGCGTCCCCGTCTTTACCCACAAGTTCAGTTACAAAGGGGTGGCCGCTGTTGAACTGGAGAAGTGACAGCTGGACCAGGAAAGTCTGTGGTCACACTGCCCCACCGCCCCACGGCGGCCTCCCTGTCGATCTCCGAGGGCAGAGAAGCTGGAGCACACGGCAGGACACCCTTCCTGGGAGGCCGACCCGCCAGCAAGGCCAGGAGGAGGCTGTGTGGCCAGCGGGGGAGGGGCACAGCGAGTGCACCCAGACTCGGGTTCAGGGCAGCCCTGCAGGGGCTCCTGGAGAACCACGGGCCTTGCTGCTGCCACCGGAGCGGATGAGGAGCCTCCCGTGGTGGCTGCCAGGGCCTCCCACGAGCCTCACTTGGGGGTGTCCACGGCCCATCTCACTCTGTCCTCCCAGGGGCTGCACTAACCTACCAGACCTGGACCCCCGGGGACACTGACTGGCAGGCTTGCCCAGGGCCTTCCCACCTCTCTCGTGAGATCTGCATCCCGTCCACCTCACCCTCTGCTCCAAGGACGGGGGCGACTGGCCCAATGCCTCCCGCCATGCTCCAGTGGCTGGTCCAGGGGTGGACGTCTGCCCAGCCTGACCCGTGAATGCAGGGCAGGGTGCTGGTCACAGCCATCATTTCAAGATTTGCGCTATGGCCAGTAAAATGTAGCCAGCCATGCCTGGGTGACAGCTGAGCGAGAAGAGTCTCTCTTCTGGACAGGACACATTGGGAGACGAGGCCCCAAACTGCTGCGGCCACTGCTTCCCAGGGATCCACCTGAGGCTCACACCAGCAGCCGGAAAGCGACTGGAGAACTGAAGGGCAGGAGGCTTGGGGCCCTGATGGATCAGAGTCCCGAACCCACCTGCCCTCAGATGCTATGCCCTTGGACACCCACCTGGCCCTTGGGTCCTCAATTCACAGGCTATGAAGTCCACATGGTCGGTTGGGTTTCTGACAGAGCCCGAGGCATCCTGACTTATCAAATGACTTTACTCATGGATTTCTTGGCTAAATGTGTCAACATCTGTTTCTTCTCAGTAAAAGTCCAAATCTTCAACAAGGCTGCGTGTGTGAGATGGACAGCTTCGTCCCACTTGTTCTTGTCTTGGCTGGTGTAAGCTGCCAGGTTCTCTGTGTACTGCAAGACACACTTTAAGAACCTGTTTAAAAGAAAGTAATTTATCTATCCCACTGAAGAGTGCAACACGGATTTACGTGTATTCCCTTCATTTTGGAATCACAATTGAAGTACTCTAGCTAATTTTCGCCTGAAGATTCAAAAGGAAATACATTCAAAATGGAAATGAGAGAATGCCAACTGAATGAAGGCAAGAATGTCAGCATTACAGGGTGGATGTCCACGCGCCACACAGCTCACCCGCTCCCAGATCCATGTAGGACGCTCTGCTGATGGGACCTTAGGGGCCGCCTGGACCACAAGACACTGGACCCTTGGGGGCTGCGCCTCCTGTTTCCACCCCACTAGCCTCACCCCCATGGAGGGGCCACCGGCCCCCCCCCCACCCACAGTAGACACGTGCCACTGGGAGCAGCCATCGCTGCCGAAAGGCTTCTGCTGGAAGATGACTCACCAGGAAGCCCACGAACGCCCTCTGACTGGTGGGAAGAAGGGCCATGCCCACGTTTCCCAAGTTCTCCTTAAAGTTTCTCAAGTAGCCCCAAATTTTCTCCAACTAAGGATTTTTGAAATTTTCATACTTAGGGAGAAGTTAACACAGCAAAACCCCACAGCCCCTGTCTAGACCATGGCTTTCAGATGAGGTGACTGTGCCCCCAAAGGAACTAGGGGCATCTGAGCCCTGTGTGGCTGTCACAGCTGGCGGCTGCCGGCGTCCAGTAGGCAGGGGGCACTACCCTACGGTGCGTGCATGGCCCTGCGGCAGACGGTCTGTGGATTAGAGCCGGACCAGGCTCTGGGCATCCACGCAGCTGAGGGTGCTGCAGCTTCACCAGCCTCCTCCCACTATCGCTGTCAGGAGGGATTCCAAAATCATTCACATGTAGATCACTCAGCTTTCTGAACTGTGTCAGCTCTAAAGGCTCACTGACTTGCACTGAAACCCACAGAGAAGAGCAGTTTAGGGCCAGACAGGAGGGAACACGACTCAAAATCACTGACACACAGCTTCATCTCCTGCAGTGTGCACACTGACCCAGATACCGCCGGTATTCTGAAGTGTTACGCACTCACCTCAGGTACTGCTGGTATTCAGAAGCATTCTTCCCAAGAACCATGTGAATGTTGATCAATTCTAGCGCAATCAGCAATAAAATCAGGTAAAGCATCGGAGACAGAAGCTTCATACTAAAAACATAAAATCAGTTAAAACTTAGTAAGTATTTACCACCTTTATAAGGTGTCTTCGTGAGGATGCAGAGCATTCTAGATACACAGTGCCAGCACTGCCGGGTAAATCTGCTGTTACCTTTAAAATCCAAAAATTTGCTGGGTCTGTAGAACCCATATTCTAAAGTTACAGGTGGTATTTACAGTGATACCCATTGCAATTTTTCTCGAAAATAAGCATTCTCTGAAGTGGGAGCAGAAGGCCATCAGGTAAGAACCGCCCAGCAGAGCTCTGCCCACCATAGCTCCGCCCCGCAGAGCAAGCAGCACGCACCTGCGCACCAGACGCAGGTAGTTCCGCCTCTGCCGTGAGCGCAGGCTTCGGTCCTCCCACTGCCGGCGCCTCAGCTCCACGCACGCGGCTACCTGGTCACAAACGCGGCGACAGTGGCTGCTGACCCTCCGGAGAACAGCCAGCACCTCCAGGACAGCTCGGGGGCAGAAGAGGGTCCGCACCGGGATGCTGCAGAGTGCATGGAGCAGCCGGGGCCACCTGCGGGGCGGACAGCAGGTCCTGAGGGCCTGTCCGCCCTGGGCCGGTGGCCTGCACAACTGCCGCGGCCTCGTCACAGGCGTCAGACTTGGCAGGTCCTGTGTGAGAACGTCTGTCGCCACATGCACTGTCAGGGCTTACCTAACAGCTCCTCCGCGAAGTCTGCAACTCCACACGCCTCCCCCAGGCCCAAGCACCCAGGACGCCCCGGACTCACTCCTCAGGAGGAAGGGGCCCAGAGAGGTGGGCAGCGCGGTGTGTCTCAGGCACATGGCAACACAGCTCACCCACGATTTCTGTGATTAAAGAGCTGCAGGCATCTGTTTCAGAATCACCTTCTGATCTGAAGACAGGAAACATTTAAAGACATGTGACAAGGAGCAGTTGCCCAATTAGGATGTTTATTTCAGTGGTTCACTGGGCAAAGCACTTCATCTGCAACTTGCTTTCCCCAAAATAAAATGAAAAAGCCACATCGGAGGCCAAGGTAAAGGTAGATGACAGAGGCACCACCGACTGACTGTTCTGCCAGACACCACCCACCTCCCCAGGAGGCATTCCTTCATGCTTGGGCCCTCAGTCTCGGCCCCCCAGCACCAAGCCCTAGGAACCCCTCCTTGGGACCTGTCTCCTGACAGTCTTGCCAGGGAAGACACTGGAGCTGAGGTTCACGGGCCCTGCGAAGCTCGTGTGAGGACTCACCGCGCAGCCTCCCCTTCGGCTTCTTCAGGCAAAGGCAGCAGAGGCCAAGCCCCAAGGCGCCCCCCACAGCTCAGCACCTGAGGCGACACGCTTGTGAAACGCGACAGAGACTACATCTGAGCACTGGTGGGCGTCTGCTATTCAGGCGACACAGTCAAGGGAGGCAGGCGAAAACACAAGCCCCCTAGGGAGTGTCGACAGCCCCTCCGCCCAGCGCTCCTGGGGGCCATCCACTCCGGGCTGGGCTGCTCTCTTACACCTCTGCAAATCTCCCCAAGCCAGCCTGCACTGACTCCACAACTTCCTTTCAGAATTTCTACTAGCAACTATTGTGACAGTCATATTCTTGGACACGACCCCACCTTGCTCCCTGGTATCGCCTGCCATATGTAAAATAAAGTTTCTGAGCCACTCTCCAATCACAATATCCATGTAGAAATGTTGACAAGCTTATTGCTTGTTTAAGCTACAGGCTAACAAAAGCTGGTCTGATGAAGCTAACATCCCTCACCACTGCCAAGCAATGCCTGTGACAGGTCCTGGGTTAAGGGCATGCAGTCACCCACAGAGTACTAAAAACACCGAGGACGCAAACCCACCATCACCTCAACTGCTGGACCCCAGAAAGATGCAGTGGCCAGGCCACGGCCACACATCTGGGAGGCACACAAGCCACAGAGCCAGGTCTGGGGACCCAAAGCCGGGCTGGAGGAGGCGGCCTGCACCCTTCAAATTTCTACAACTGTGGACCTCCATACCTCTCCCCACTTACCTGTTTTTTAAGCTGAGAAGCTGGGTGGCAGCGAGAAACGTAGGCTACTGCAAGGTTAATCAATGACCTCACCGCTGCTTCTTCCTGGTTTAGAGAAAACAGACCATTGTTACTACAACTTCGGTCAGGCTTCTGTTTCTCTGCTATTGCATATGAGGTCACATAGGAGTCCTGACTTCTCGTTACCTCCCTACACATAACTGTCTCAGCTAAAAGAAGGAAAACTCTTCATTAAAATAGCTTTGACACAGTAGTCAAGCCATAACCAACAAAATTATCTTAAATAAGGCTGATTAATAGTGATCAATTACAAATGCCACTCTGTCCACAACGCAGCAAAACCAGAAATAAATGAGAAAAAGTTCAAACAATTGGAAAATTTAAGAGATTCTCCTAAAAAACTAGGACACAATAAGAGTTTAAACATTAAAAATGAATATAACTAGAAGTGGAATACATACTATAAACACTCAACTGCCAGACATATAAGTATTTCTAAAAGAGTAAAAAATTACATTATTTACAGCTGACACACCTGTATAACTGGCAAACCCAAGTCTGTGGACTATTACAAAATGTGGTCAACTGGAGAAGGGAATGGCAAACAACTCCAGTTTTCTTGCCTTGAGAACCCCATGAACAGGATGAAAAGGCAAAAAATACGACACTGGAAGATGAACCCATAGGTCAGTAGGTGTCCAATTTGCTACTGAGGAAGAACAGATAAACAGCTTCAGAAAGAATGAAGAGGCTGAGCCAAAGCAGAAAAGATGCCCAATTGTGTATGTGTCTGGTGCTTAAAGTAAAGTCCGATGCTGTAAAGAACAGTGCATAGGAACCTGGAATGTTAGGTTCATGAGTCAAGGTGAATTGGAAGTGGTCAAGTAGGAGATGGCAAGAGTGAACATTTTAGGAATTAGTGAACTAAAATGGACAGAAATGGGTGAATTTGATTCAGATGACCATTATACCTACTACTGTGGGCGAATCCCTTAGGAGAAAGAGAGTAGTCCTCACAGTCAACAAATGCGCCTGAAATGCAGTACTTGGTGCAATCTCAAAAATGACACAATGACCTCAGTTTGATTCTAAAGCAAACTATTCAACATCACAGTAATCAAAATCTCTGCCCCAACCACTAGTGCTGAAGAAGCTGAAGTTGAATGGTTCTATGAAGATCTAGGAAACCTTCTAGAACTAACACCAAAAAAAGATGTCCTTTTCATCCTAAGGGGCTGGAATGCAAAAGAAAGAAGTCAAGAGATACCTGGAGTAATAAGTTTGGCCTTGGAGTACAGAATGAAGCAGGGCAAAGGCTAACAGAGTTTTGCCAAGAGAATACACTGGTCAGAGCAAACACCCTCTTCCAACAACACAGAGCTGACTCTACACGTGGACATCACCAGGCGGTCAATACCGAAATAAGATTGATTATATCCTTGCAGCCAAAGATAGAGAAGCTCTATATAGTCAGCAAAAATAAGACTGGTAACTGACTGTGGCTCAGAGTATAATCTCCTTATTGCCATTCAGACTTATATTGAAGAAAGTAGGAAATGCCACTGCTGCTGCTGCTGCTAAGTCGCTTCAGTCATGTCCGATTCTGTGCGACCCCATCGATGGCAGCCCACCAGGCTCCGCTGTCCCTGGGATTCTCCAGGCAACAACACTGGAGTGGGTTGCCATTTCCTTCTCCAATGCATGAAAGTGAAAAGTTAAAGTGAAGTCGCTCAGTTGTGTCCAACTCTCAGCAACCCCATGGACTGCAGCCTACCAGGCTCCTCCTTCCATGGGATTCTCCAGGTGAGAGTGCTGGAGTGGGCTGCCGTTGCCTTCTCCAAGTAAAAGCCACTAGGCCATTCACAACTGACCTAATCAAATCCCTTATTATTATACAGTGGAGGTGATGAACAGATTCAAGGGATTAGATCTGGTAGACATAGAGTGCCTGAACAACTATGGAAGGAAGTTCATAACACCATACAAGAAGCAGTGATCAAAACCATCCCCAAGAAAAAGAAATGCAATAAGGCAAACTGGTTGTCTGAGGAGGCTTTACAAATAGCTGAGAAAAGAAAAGAAGTGAAAGACAAAGGAGAAAAGGTAATATATACCCATCTGAATGCAGAGTTCCAAAGAACAGCAAGGAGAGATAAGAAAGCCTTAAGTGACCAATGCTGACTTTATTCTCTTGGGCTCTCATCATCACTGCAGATGATGACTGCAGCCATGTAACTGAAAGACGCTTATTCCATGGAAGGAAAGTTATGACCAACCTAGACAGCATATTAAAAAGCAGAGACATTACTTTGTCCACAAAGGTCCATCTAGTCAAGGCTATGGTTTTTCCAGTAGTCATGTATGGATGTGAGAGTTGGAATATAAAGAAAGCTGAGCATCGAAGAATTTATGCTTTTGAACTGCAGTGTTGGAGAAGACTCTTGAGAGTCCCTTGGACTGCAAGGAGATCCAACCAGTCAGTCCTGGGTGTTCATTGGAAGGACTGACACTGAAGCTGAAACTCCAATATTTTGGCCACCTGATGCAAAAAGCTGACACATTTGAAAAGACCCTGATGCTGGGAAAGATTGAGGGCAGGAAGAGAAGGGGACGACAGAGGAGATGGTTGGATGGCATCACCAACTCAGTGGACATGGGTTTGGGTGGACTCCGGGAATTGGTGATGGACAGGGAGGCCTGGCGTGCTGCGATTCATGGGGTCACAAAGAGTCGGACATGACTGAGCGACTAAACGGAACTGAATTGAACAATGCAAAGAAACAGAGGAAAACAATAGAGATCTCTTCAAGAAAATCAGAGATACCAAGGGAACACTTCATGCAAAGATGGGCACAATAAAGGACAGAAATGCTTTGGTCCTAAAAGAAGCAGAAGATATTAAGAAGAGGTGGCAAGAATACACAGAAGAACTATACAAGAAAAGGTCTTAATGACCCAGATAACCACGATGGTGTGAGCACTCATCTAGAGCCAGACATTCTGGGGTGTAAAGTCAAGTGGGCCTTAGGAAGCATTACTACAAATAAAGTTAGTCGAGGTGATGGAATCCCAGCTGAGCTATTTCAAATTCTAAAAGATGATGCTGTTAAAATGCTGCACTGAATATGCCAGCAAATTTGGAAAACTCAGCAGTGGCCACAGGACTAAAAAAGGTCAGTCTTCATTCCAATCCCAAAGAAGGGCAATGCCAAAGAATGTTCAAATTACCACACAATGGCACTCATTTCATATGCCAGCAAGGTAATGCCCAAAGTCATTCAAGCTAGCCTTTAATAGCATGTGAACTGAGAACTTCTAGATGTTCAAGCTGGATTTAGAAAAGGCAGAGGAATCAGAGATCAAATTGCCAACATCCTTTGGATCATAGAAAAAGCAAGAGAATTCCATCTACTTCTGCTTCACTGACTACACTAAAACCTTCAACTGTGTGATCACAACAAACTGTGGAAAATTCTTCAAGAGATGGGAATACCAGACCACCTTACCTGCCTCCTGAGAAATCTGTATGCAGGTCAAGAAGCAACAGTTAGAATCAGACACAGGACAATGGACTGGTTCAAAATTAGGAAAGGGGTAAGTCAAGGCTGTATATTGTCACCCTGGTTATTTAACTTCTGTGCAGAGTACATCATGTGAAATGCCGGGCTGGAGGAAGCACAAACTGGAGAGAAATAGCAACAACCTCAGATATGCAGATGACACCACTCTAATGAAATAAAGTGAAGAGGAACTAAACAGCCTCTTGATGAAAGTGAAAGAAGAAAGTGAAAAAGCTGGCTTAACACTCAACATCTGAAAAACTAAGATCATGGCATCCAGTCCCACCACTTCATGGCAAATAGATGGGAAAACAGTGGCTGACTTTATTTTCTTGGGCTCCAAAATCACTGCAGATGGTGACTGCAGCCATGAAATTAAAAGACACTTACTCCTCAGAAGAAAAACTGTGACCAACCTAGACAGCATATTAAAAAGCACACGCATCACTTTGCTGACAAAGGTCCATCTATGGTTTTTCCAAAGCTATGGTTTTTCAAGTAATCATGTACAGATGTGAGAGTTGGATCATAAAGAAGGCTGGTGCCAAAGAACTGATGCTTTCGAACTGTGCTGGAGAAGACTCTTGAGAGTCCCTTGGACTGCCAGGATATCAAACCAATCAATCCTAAAGGAAATCAGTCCTGAATATTCACTGGAAGGACTGATGCTGAAGCTGAAGCTCCAATCCTTTGGCCACCTCATAGAAAGAGCCAGCTCACTGGAAAAGACCCTACGCTGGGTAAGACGGAGGGTAGGAGGAGAAGGGGGTGCCAGAGGATGAGATGGTTCAAAGGTATCACTGAATCAATGGATATGAGTTTGAGCAAACTCCAGGAGGTGGTGAAGAACAGGGAAGCCTGGCGTGCTGTAGTCCATGAGGTTGCAGTCGGACATGAATTGCCACTGAAGAACAGCAAAGCCAGTGAGTTGAGAGCCAACAAATTTAATACATGGAAGTCAAAAGCTTCCCTATGTATAAGCAGTAACTACCTAGAACTCTCAACAGCACAAAACCACTCAAATGGCTAGTTGTTACTTGGAGAAGAAATGCAGTTAACTTCCATTCACTCTGACACCTACAGATCAGACAGCCATGAGGCTCACAGGGCGGTTGGTACCTGGTAGGGTCACCAGGACTCACACCTGAAGCCAGCAATGAGCCAGTGGCCACCACAGCACACACGGCTTCCCCCTTGACAGGAGCAGTGGGAGGGCCTCTGAGCACTGGGGACGCATGCGGGCTCAGTGCAGGGGCGGCAGGGGAGGGGGATGCGGACCTGGGGCTGCATCTTGAGGAGAACACGGAACCTGGAGAGTGGAGTGGGAGACTGGCCTTGGCGCCTGAGCAGCCACTTAGGTCAATTATCCCCACATTAGTCCATCAGCAGCCCACCCCTATGGGCTCTGTGTTCAACTGCACAGGTTCACTGGAATAATAACAGTCAGAGAAGAGGCAGGGCATTCTGAAGAAGAAGAGAAACAGGACCATAATGTCAGACACGAATGTGAGTGCTAATGTCAGCACCAACTAATGTGCTGTGAGACTCAGTACAGACAGGAAAAGGGAGTCCAGGTCTGGAGTTCAGGGCACCCTCCATAGAGATGTTTATTCTCTAAATGGGGTTGGCCAACTTGCAAGCAATTTGTTAAAAAAAAAAAAGCTAGATTCCCAGGTGAAATAAATTCCTGCTGGATCAAAAGATGTAAATGGAAAGAAAGCTATGCAACTGTAATTGAAAGCATATAAATACTTCTATAATTTTGGAAAACAAAAACCTTAAAAGGGTCTTTTAAAAAGAACTCCAAATGCATAAGCCGGAGAGGAAAAACCTAAAGACAGGTAACAGCAACACAGACAGAGAGACTCTCATACTGAAAGAAGGACAAATATCATATGATATTGCTCATATGTGGAATACAAAAAAGTGGTAGAAATAACCTATTTACAAAACAGAAAGAGAGTCACAGCAGTAGAAAACAATGGCTATTTGTTTTCTTGGCTTATCCCCCTCATGGCTATCAGGGGATAAGAGAGAGTGGAGGATGAACTGGGGATTGGACTGACACATAGACACTACTGTACATAAAACTGGTGACTAGTAACGACCTACTGCACACACAGGGAACTCCGCTCAGTCGTCTGTAGTGGCCTGTACGGGAGAGGAACCTCAAACAGTGGGAATGTGTGTGTGTGTAACTGTACATCTGAAACTAACACACTATAAATCAACTGGACGCCATTAAAAAGGTTTAAGTAAATAAATATAGATTTAGAGTAAAAAAAAATAGGATGAATTATTTTAGGTGAGACAAAGTAATATTAATTTATGTTATAGAGAATACATGTCCACAAGTAATCTGTTCAGACGGAGGCACACCGTAACTCAAATAAATTAAAAGATAATTAAAGTATAATTAATTACATTTGAAAATAACTCCATTCCTTCTCAACTGAAAGAAGTGAATCTAATGAAACATCTTCTTCCCTACACGTTACCTTGAACACTGATAACAGATCTTCATCAATAAATCTGAGTAAAAGGACAAAGGAAAACGCAAGCAACTGATTGGCTGCTGCTTTCGGAAATTCAGGTAAACTGACTTCCCCATGGCTTAACCGATCTCTTAGACGGGGACCCTCCTGATGGTTTAGGAAATCCCAGAGAAATTCCTACCAAAAAAAAAGGACACAAAAAATGTGTGGTTAGTATTCTCAGCAGAAAGAAGGAAGCCTGAAGGCCCAGAAAGGGCAAGCCGAAGCAGCAATGTTCATTACAGAAAAGTGAGCCTGGAAGAGTCAGTCACAGTCACAGAGCAGATGAGCACCAAGTCACCCGGGATCCCTCGGCTTCTCACTACACCCACCGCCGCTGCTGCGTTCTCCTGCAGGACCTCCCTTCTGTGGAACAGCACCCTGCTGCCCGAGGCTGGATGCTGCTGGGGAGCCCTGTCCTCTGGAACTGCACCCCGCGACCTCAGGCAGGAGCCCCGCGGCTCAGGCTGGCTCTCCCAGGGAGCTGCGTTTCTGCGCCTATTCCTTGCGGACTCACAAGCAGCTGGCCAGTCCGGAGGACTGCCCCAGGCTCCAGTGCTTGGTAGCAGCACCACTCCCAGCCTCACCCCCTGGAGGAGGAGGGCTGTGCTGACCACACCCGGGGTCCACAGCTGTGCTCACATGGACAGCACCGGTTTTCTTTCCCCTCATGCCTCTTTCTCACGTGTCCTTTCTCAGATCACCCCTTTATTTTTGAAGCCCTGTGAAGGCACGGCTGTCTTCTTAATCACAGATGTTCAAGGACTCTTCCACAGGCAGAGGAAAAAGAGTCAGAAAACCACATTTGCTGATTCAAGCAAACTGCCACTGGACAGAGGAGTCACAGAGATTCAAGATGAAAAAGAGCTTTAGATAAACGAGTTCAATTATGCTAACTTCCTGGTAGCAGAAAGGAGTGACTGATGTCACATAGCGGGAACTGGAACCCAGGATGCTGGCTCCCAGTTAAAAATTATAAAAATCCTATTTACAGTCCAAAGAAGTCACTGCAATATCCTCATAACATACAAAAATTTGACAAGTAGAAAACAGATCTAAATAATTATCTTCTCATCCAACACTATCTTACCAGTCACATCTGACTTTGTTGTTGTTCATAAAGCAAATACAGTCCCTGCTACCAGCACATATGGGCTTCCCTGGTGGCTCAGATGGGAAAGAATCTACCTGCAACGCAGGAGACCTGGGTTCTGTCTTTGAGTCAGGAATATCCTCTAGAGAAGGAAATGGCTACCCACTCCAGTATTCTTGCCTGGAGAATCCCATGGACAGAGGAGCCTGGGGGCTATATACAGTCCATGGGCTAGAGAGATGGACGTGACTAAACGACTAACAGTTTCACACATTTCATCACTAAATTCATATAACCCACAAATTCAAACACTGTTAGGACCAGCGTGACTAAGTCCTCAGGTCCTAGGGAGAGGACGTCTGGATAATCAGCATGAAGCACAGGGCCTGAGCTTGCTCAGAGCTCAGCCAATGTCAGCTGCAAAGACAGTGGAGTTCAGACAAGCAAATGCTTCAGGAGCACTTCTGGGCAGGAACCAAGACAAAATTAATGTCATTTTTGAGAAAAGCTAATCATATTGGTAAATAGCAGGGTATTAATTATAAATGCCTAACACTTTACCATTGCAGGCTCTCCCAGGAAAAGAGGAAGTTGGTTGATTTTACCATCATTCAAGTGTTTTGCCAATATCTAAAACAGCAAAAAGAAGTAAGTTGATCAACTGGTATACAAGTATACATACATAGAACTTTCAGTGTCAAAATATACTAGACATGTGGTGTGACATGTGTTAAGTCCAAAGCAGATTAAATAAGGACAGTCTTAAGAAAGCAGCAACCACCTCTTTAGGAAAGGCTTTCTTAACCAATATAATGAGTTTAAGAAGATATAGATGTATTCTTAACTGTGTGAATGTGTGTGCTTCATGTGTTTACATGTACAGAGGCGTGTAGATGTGCTTATATACATTCAGGTACACGTGTGTGCAGATATGGGTTTCCCTGGTGGCTCAGACAGGAAAGAATCTGCCTGCCGTGCAGGAGACCCAGGTTCAATACCTGGGTCAGGAGGAGCCCCTGGAGAAGGGAATGGCAACCCACTCCAGTGTTCTTGCCTGGAGAAGTCCATGGACAGACAAGCCTGGGGCCTGGTGGGCTATAGTCCATGGAGTCACAAGAGTCGGACACGACTGAGCGACTAACACATACTCACATTTGCATATATGTATGTGTGTGTGTCTTTATGCACAGTTTGTGTATATGTGTGTATGTGTATATATGTGTTTATATAAGTTTATATATGTGTTTATGTATATGCACAAACACTGTATATGGTGTGCTTATACATATATACATGTGTGTACATGTATGTTATGGCCTTTCCATAACTTTAGAAACTAGGTTAATAATTAGCCTGAAAGCTATACTCAACAATATCATCAGCTTTTTCTTTTTTTCTGCTTATGTTTTTCTGCAATATTTTCCTGCAAGCATATGACTTATGGCTGATTTTTAATTTTACATTTTAATTTTTATTTTAAACAAATACAATGTTCTTGTTTCAAGATATCTTAGAAGTTTACTTACTTCATCGAAGGTAGTATAAAGAGCTGTTGACTTTAGAAAAGGAAAGAAAAGAAATAATTAAAGCAAAATACAAGTAGTGTAACATTATTCAAAGCAGGAAACAATTCTAGTGTAGGGCCACAAATATGAAGCCTTCTTTTGTAAATAAAACTTCATCTAGCAACACTTTGGGAAGGATGTTGCTGACTACATAAATATGATACACAAGGCATGAAGATACAGTGATCCTGGCGCACAAGCCGCCTAAGACTATCACCCTCACACGTACAGCAATTCAGGTGCGTCTGACACTCACAATCCCACAACTTCACAAATCACTACTCACACACACAGAGCACCTCTACTGATGACTGGTATCTGTGTGCAAGTGCGCACAATCGAGTATTTTCTCCAACAAGCATCCGGTGCCTTTCATGCTTCTTGAGTAACTGGTGCAGAGTTTACAGATGTGGCTCGGGGCCAGACTGCCTTGACGTTCCAATCCCAACTTCAGCACCTTCTGCACATGAAACCCCGAGCACCTTCACACACCCTTCTCTGCTAAACCAGAAGTGAGGAATGCCCATCTCAAACGCTTCTGGGGAAGTCAGCACAATTTTACACATAGCTTGTCAAAATCCGTATTGTGAGGAGGCTGAGCCCCAAGAAACATGTTGCACTTATTAATGCTCATTGACAGACTTTCACTTTAATGTTTATTATCGCATATTCTTCACCATGTGTCGCTGTGGAGATAGCGCTAAAGCCCATATACTCCCAAACCTGTTCTGCCGATGCTAAAATCTCTCCTGAGCTCTACTCTAAGTATTCAACTGCCTACTAAATATCCCCACCATTTCCTTAACTTTTCACTCATCTCCATAAATGATGGAAATATACTTCTATCTTGTTTTACAGAATTGGTATAAATACCTTCTCTTGCACCCCTAATACACATAAGCTTCTAAAGTCACAAAGTCTCACTCATCTTCACAGCCTCCAATGACTCTGAAGAGATCTTATGCCATAAAATAATCATAGAATTTGCAGATGCAGTTTATAGTTTTACGAAGTATTTTCATTTGTATATCACCTTATAAGTAAACTGTATGAACATTATCTTCAGTACAAAGTTAAAAGCACATTGTATTTCCTTCCTGACCACTTGCCCAGTCCCCATCTCTATGAGAGAGAAGCTTCATCTAACTTATTTCATCTGTTTGATGACTGTCATTTATAACTTTATCGCTACTTCTGTCTCGGTTGTTTGGAAAAGGTATATGGACTCATTACATACTCTAATGTACTATCTATAGATTATAAGATAAAGTCAAGCATCTATTTGCTGATACTTTTTAAGTTGACCTGTCTTTATCCTTAGAAATGTCTTAGAAGTAGCTTTCCCTGGTGGCTCAGATGGTTAAGAAATTGTCTGCAATGCAGGAGACCTGGGTTCAATCCCTGGGGCGGGAAGATCCCCTGGAGAAGGAAATGGCAACCCACTCCAGTATGCTTGCCTGGAGAATTCCATGGACAGACGAGCCAGCAGGCTGCAGCTCGTGGGGTCATGAACAGTTAGATACAACTGAGTGACTATCACTCACTCATCAGTAAACTGGTATTAGGTTTATTCTGGCTAAAATTTAAGATATTATTTGATAAACTATCCTCTGCAGAAACAGTCACCGTATCTACTTGTGCAGTGAAATGACAACTAATTAACCAAATTCATGAACCACAGAGCCATGCACTGAGTGGCCAGGACACCATGAAGTCAATTCTAAGAACACCTGAATGAGAGCTGACCCTGGGGCTCCAGCTCTTTCCACTGGAAGGCCAGGCTTCACTCCGTAACACTGGACTGGGCAGAGCCCAGTGAAAGACACTGGGTGTGGCATCAACAGACCCAAGTATGGACATCCCAGTCTCCAGGGCTGCACCAGAGACCTCTCCAAAAATGCAGTGCAGAACCACCTCCAGATAAGACAGAAACAGAATACAGAGGAAAGCAGTGTTAGGTCTGAGTAGACAAGGCTCTGTGAGGTCACCCCTGTGGCCACAAGTGGCCAGGCAGGGAACAGCGGGCAAGGAAGAAGAAAGGTATGCATGTCCAGGAATTGGCAAGGAGTCTAAATGATGCTGGTGAAATCAGGTGGAGAATAAAGTGGAGAAAGGCTGGGGCCAGACTCTGAGATCCTTTAAATCAGAAACGTGAGCAGTGCAATCAGGCACTGGAAGTCATAAAAGGCTTTTAAGCAGACGGGTTCATAGAAGACACAGGAATACTCATAAACTTAGCAAATAATCAGTGGCAGTGTGAGAATGGATGAGAGGAGGAGGAGAAGCACGAAGACTTGTGAGAGATAAGTTCAGGTGAGCAAGGTGCGAGCCAGTGAAGCCAAGCACTGACGAACCGCGGGGTCAGTCAGGGCCGGGGCCCACCAGCAGGGCGATGCGCGGGAGGGTGGGGGGCAGGCGGAGCACGGGCGGCACTGAAGCTGGGCGCGGAGCCACGGAGAGGACGGAGCCCGGTCTGACTCTCTCGTGACCCGCGGACTGCAACACACCAAGCCTCCCTGTCCATCACCAACTCCCGGAGCTTTCTCAAACTCATGTCCATCGAGTATGTGATGCCATCCAACCATCTCATCCTCTGCCGTCCCCTTCTCCTCCTGCCCTCAATCTTTCTCAGCATCAGGGTCTTTTCAAATCAGTCAGTTCTTCACATCAGGTGGCCAAAGTACTGGAGTTTCAGCTCAGCATCAGTCCTTCCAATGAATATTCAGGACTGATTTCCTTTAGGATGGACTGGCTGGATCTTCTTGTAGTCCAAGGAACTCTCAAGAGTCTTCTCCAACACTACAGTTCAAAAGCATCAATTCTTCATGGCTCAGCCTTCTTTATGGTCCAACTCTCACATCCATACATGACTACTGAAAAAATCATAACTCTGACTAGACAGACCTTTGTCAGCTAAGTAATGTCTCTGCTTTTTAATAGGCTGTCAATGTTGGTCATAGCTTTTGTTCCAAGGAGCAAGCGTCTTTTACTTTCAGGGCTGCAGTCACCATCTGCAGTGATTTTGGAGCCCAAGAAAATGAAGTCCGTCACTGTTTCCATTGTTTCCTTATCTATTTGCCATGAAGTGATGGGACCAGATGCCATGGTCTTAGTTTCTTGCACGTCAGAAGATGGCGGAGTAGAAGGACGTGAGCTCATTTTCTCCTGCGAGAACTGCAAAATTGCAGCTCACTGCTGAACCACCATCAACAGGAGAACATTGGATCCCACCAAAAACACATACCCATGTCCAAGAACAAAGAAGAAGACCCAACAAGACAGTAGGAGGGGCAAAATCACGTTTAGAATAAGGATAGTAAGGAATATCAGAGAACAAATTTGTGGAAGAAAAAAAATTGCCTTTATTGAAGTAATGTAAATCTGGATGCTGGGGAAATCTCCTATGAACACAGTCAACAAACAGGTGTAAACCTAACACAGGAGATCAAAGAACTGTGAGTTAGAAACAATGCCTTGAAGACGGCTAGAGACTTAATGCTCTAAATCACCCTCTTAGCACTGCTTTAACTGCATCAACAACTTGTGCCATGTGGGGTTTTCATTTTCATTAGTTTTGGAGTATTTTGATTGGTGTTGCTCCCACAGAGGTAACAGCTTCAGGCACTGGATTATATGAGCTCTCCCAGGGGATGCATATAAGGAGGAGTAGAGGGTTGAAGACAGGATTTTTTGAGGAATGCCTATTTAAGGACATCACCAGATGGTCAACACTGAAATCAGATTGATTATATTCTTTGCAGCCAAAGATGGAGAAGCTCTATACAGTCAGCAAAAACAAGACCAGGAGCTGACTGTGGCTCAGATCATGAACTCCTTATTGCCAAATTCAGACTTAAACTGAAGAAAGTAGGGAAAACCACTAGAGCATTCAGGTATGAGCTAAATCAAATCCCTTATGACTATACAGTGGAAGTGAGAAATAGATTTAAGGGCCTAGATCTGATAGACAGAGAGCCTGATGAACTATGGGCGAAGGTTTGTGACATTGTACAGGAGACAGGGATCAAGACCATCCCCATGGAAAAGAAATGAAAAAAGGCAAAATGGTTGTCTGAGGAGGACTTACAAATAGCTGTGAAAAGAAGAGAAGCAAAAAACAAAGGAGAAAAGGAAAGATATTCCCATTTGAATGCAGAGTTCCAAAGAATAGCCAGGAGAGATAAGAAAGCCTTCCTCAGCGATCAATGCAAAGAAATAGAGGAAAACAACAGAATGGGAAAGACTAGAGATCTCTTCAAGAAAATCAGAGATATCAAGGGAACATTTCAGGCAAAGAGGGGTTCGATAAAGAACAGAAATGATATGGACCTAACGGAGCAGAAGATATTAAGAAGAGGTGGCAAGAATACACAGGAGAACTGTACAAAAAAGATCTTCACGAGCCAGATAATCACAATGGTGTGATCACTCACCTAGAGCAAGACATCCTGGAATGTGAAGTCAAGTGGGCCTTAGAAAGCATCACTACAAACAAAGCTAGTGGATGTGATGGAATTCTAGTTGAGCTATTTCAAATCCTGAAAGATGATGCTGTGAAAGTGCTGCACTCAATATGCCAGCAAATTTGGAAAACTCAGCAGTGGCCACAGGACTGGAAAAAGTCAGTTTTCATTCCAGTCCCTAAGAAAGGCAATCCCAAAGAATGCTCACACTACTGCACAATTGCACTCATCTCACACACTAGTAAAGCAATGCTCAAAATTCTCCAAGCCAGGCTTCAGCAATACGTGAACGGAGAACTTCCAGATGTTCAAGCTGGTTTTAGAAAAGACAGAGGAACCAGAGATCAAATTGCCAATATCTGCTGGATCATTGAAAAAGCAAGAGAGTTCCAGAAAAACATCTATTTCTGCTTTATTGACTACGCCAAAGCTTTTGACTGCGTGGATCACAATAAACTGTGGAAAATTCTGAAAGAGATGGGAATGCCAGACCACCTGACGTGCCTCTTGAGAAACCTGTATGCAGGTCAGGAAGCAACAGTTAGAACTGGACATGGAACAACAGACTGGTTCAAATAGGAAAAGGAGTAAGTCAAGGCTGTATATTGTCACCCTGCTTATTTAACTTACATGCAGAGTACATCATGAGAAATGCTGGGCTGGAAGAAGCACAAGCTGGAATCAAGATTGCTGGGAGAAATATCAATAACCTCAGATATGCAGATGACACCACCCTTATGTCAAAGAGTGAAGAGGAACTGAATAGCCTCTTGATGAAAGTGAAAGAAGAGAGTGAAAAAGTTGGCTTAAAGCTTAACATTCAGAAAACTAAGATCATGGCATCTGGTCCCATCACCTGATGGGAAATAGATGGAGAGACAGTGGAAACAGTGGCTGACTTTATTTTTTGGGCTCCAAAATCACCGAGGATGGTGACTGCAGTGATGAAATTAAAAGACGCTTACTCCTTGGAAGGAAAGTTATGACCAACCTAGATAGCATATTAAAAAGCAGAGACATTACTTTGCCAACAAAGGTCTGTCTGGTCAAGGCTATAGTTTTTCCAGTGGTCATGTATGGACGTGAGAGTTGGACTGTGAAGAAAGCTGAGCGCCGAAGAATTTATGCTTTTGAACTGTGGTGTTGGAGAAGACTCTTGAGAGTCCCTTGGACTGCAAGCAGATCCAACCAGTCCATCCTAAAGGAGTTCAGTCCTGGGTGTTCACTGGAAGGACTGATGCTGAAGCTGAAACTCCAATACTTTGGCCACCTGATGTGAAGAGCTGACTCATTGGAAAAGACCCTGATGCTGGGAGGGATTGGGGGCAGGAGGAGAAGGGGACGACAAGAGGATGAGATGGCTGGATGGCATCACCGACTCGATGGGCATGAGTTTGAGTAAACTCCGGGAGTTTGTGATGGACAGGGAGGCCTGGCGTGCTGCAATTCATGGGGTCGCAGAGAGTCGGACACGACTGAGCGACTGAACTGAACTGAACTGATTTAAGGGGCAAAAAGAGGACGATGAGCTAGGAAGAAACAAGAGCACCAGGTACGGCAGACGCCTGTGCTCACCCCAGGATGTGTGCTCCCCCCTTCCCCTGCCTAGTGGACTCTCCCATAGCCCACTGGGACATGGCCACTCAAAGGCATCTCTAAGCCCCACTGGCAGCTCTGCCAAAAGGAAGCAGTCTCTTCAGAGAAGGCAAGCTGCAGACCAGCCATGCCCCCCTCGTGGGGTTACAACAGCACAGCAGTAACTGTGGCCTCAGAGAAAGCATGAGCATCAACCGCTTTCATGACATCGTTGATGACATAAAAACGACTTAGAATTTGTTTCCCATTTTTATCCCGCCCAGTCGTGTCTGACTCTTTGCAACCTCATGGACTATATAGTCCATGCAGTTCTCCAAGCCAGAACACTGGAGTAGGTAGCTTTTCCATTTTCCAGGGGATCTTCCAAGCCCAGGCCTCCCACACTGCAGTCAGATTCCTTACGAGCTGAGCCACGAGGGAAGCATCACAGATCAACAGAAGTCTTACAACATCAAAATAGGAAACCACAAAAATGATAGTCAAGCCTTCCAAAGAAAGTTCTTGCAAGAAAATTCATTTAACAATAAACAAAAACAAGATAGTAAAAGCTTTAATTACGGACAGAAAACTGTTGATACAGCAGCAACCACCACCAACCACTAGAGCATGTGTACCTCAGCAGTTAGAAGTCTCTTTGGACATTCGTTAACTTCAGCAAAAACCTTCCTAAGTCCAGTCTCTAGTTGCACCAACAACAATATGGCACAGTCAGCAAACCTGTGAAATTGAATGAAATCAGTAAAACTTCATGTTCTAAAGGTAAACTCTGGCACCAACACCATAATAAGGGTGCTGTTTTCCAGAGGTTACCAACGTGTGTCCAAAGCAGTGAAGGCTGATATTACTCACTAACATGAGAAACAAAAACAGAATCAAGGCCTCACGAGATGAGTGACAATAAAACTGTTTTCTGGTGTTTTAATGTATGAGACAGTTTTAGTAGCTGCAGCAGATTAAAATGTCACCAAATACCTGCCAAACTTGTTTCATCTAAAAAGTACTCAGACGCCAGGGTGTCGGTGGGTTCTCACGGTTTCCAGTCAAGTGTCTGCATCAGGACAGAGTAATGGGGAGGGAAGTGGAGCCCACTGACCCCCCAGGGCAATACCCGGGGCCTGCTCCCTGGGGAACAGAGGCAACTGACAGCCTCTGTCTCTCCTGACTTTCTAACACTGCACACCGTGTTTCAGTCACAGTAAGAGCTTGAAAAATATTAATAAGTTGCTTCAAAAAAGTAATTATTGCGGCACTTCCTGGTGGCTGAGTGGTTAGGACCCTGGGTTTCCACAGCAGTGGCCCGAGCTCAATCCCTGATCAGGGAACTGGGGTCCTGCAAGGTGTGCAGTGCAGCCAAAATGATTTATTTCTAAAATAAAAATTAAAATAATTATCATTATTAACTATATAAAACTGTACCAAAAAACAAAAAAAAATGTTTAAAACACAATTACAAGATGCCTTTTAATTAATTACAGGAAGATAATTTATGCTCGGGTCAACTCCTGTTTGCTTTTACAGCAACATAGCACGGGAAGCGGGGGCTTCTAGGAAGGCCTGGCCTGCAGATCACCAGTACCCAATCTGTAAAGCCACACTGCAGGTACCTGTGAGACTTTAACTTGGTTAATGCAACTTCCCAATATGGCAACATGATTTTCAGTATAAAAGTGGACTTCTTCATCACTTCTTCTAATACTGAAAGCACCTCAGTCGTAACATCTGTAAAACAGCAAATATTTTTAAGCACAATCACACTGATCAACTGAAAAAAGGTGTGAACACACTTAGGGAGTGATGCCACTGGGCCAACCTCTTTAAGAAGATGGACCGTGGGCAACACGTGCCGTCTAAGAGTAAGGCCACCTGAATGAGGCCAGGCTGCAGGTGACCACAGGCAACCCGTGGGGGCCCAGGGCGACTGCATCAGTGACAGAGGCTGCAACTATGTGGGCAGAGGAGTTCAGGGGCAACTGGCTGGCCACACTGACCAAGAAAATACGTCTTCCAAAGATACAGGAAGCAAGAGTGAATCCAAAGGTAAACTCTGGACTTAAGGTGACCATGCTGTGTCCATGTAGGCTCATCCATCTGTGGCAACCGATGTCCCACCTGGTGAGAGATGCTGACAAGGGAGACGGGTGGCTGGGAACCTCTGCACCTCCTTCCTGATTCTGTTGTAAACTTAAAACTGCTCTACAAAAGTAAAGTCTTAAAAGATATATGCTATTGGCAGTTACCAGACTAGCAAAAGATTCCATGATACCAAAAGGCTAAGACTGCTGGGGCCAAGATGCTCTGTACTCTCCCCTCCAGGGTTTTCATTGGCAAAAGCAGACACGGCCTGTCTACTACCAAACAGGAAAAGGGGTGGGCCTGGAGCAAACACAGGGTTTATCTGTTTTCTCGAAGTCCTGTGTCCTCAATCTCATCAATCTGGTAAGACTTTGACATGAAAAAAAAAAACAAAAGATGATATTTGTTGTTGTTTAGTTGCTAAATCGTGCCCAGCTCTTTGTGACCCCATGGACTGTAGCCCCAGGCTCCTCTGACCATGGGATTTCCCAGGCAAGAATACTGGAGTGGGTTGCCATTTCCTTTTCTGGAGGATCTTCCCAACCCAGGGATTGAACCCTTGTCTCCTGGGTTGGCAGATGGGTTCTTTTCTGCTAGCCATCGGGGAAGTCCAAAGATGACACAGGAAAACACTTATACTACTGGCGCTTCTGGCATCACCATTAAGAGAACAGAGCAAGAGAGCAGAGAAGGGAAGGGAATGTGTGTCACAGACTGGCCCAAGCCACACATCTGCACGATAAACTAATTTTATCATTAATACTGATTCATGTCGACTGGTATTATTAATATTGATCAACATTATTAACATTATTGACCAATAATATTAACAATGATTCACGTAGCTGTGGCTCTGACTCCCAGCGCCAACCCTGGGGGCACCATGGGAAGGGGTGAGGATTTATGTGGCAAAGTTTAACAGGTTCCTCATGAAACTTTCAAAGGCACGTTGCCCCTGGAGAGTAACTATTCCTCCCATAGAGCTTGAGTGTCAGTGCTGCTTAATAACATTATAAATATCTTTACAAAGATAGAGTCAAAGAAAAACGTGAAGTGTGGTACTTGCCAGGAAAAATGATCAAATCCTCCATGCTCGTAAGAGTTACAAAAGGTCGATGTGCCAACGTGAAGTTAGTCTGTTGAAGGTAACCCTTCAGTAGTTGACCCAATCCTACTGTCAACAACACCAACATTGAGCAGTATCTAGTGGGAAATACCATAGCAATCTGTTAGAAACACAAACCCAGCACATATATAAAAAGCTCTACTTAAAAAAAAAAAGTTTAAAATTAAGAAAGCAAAACAGTATCAAATTGCAGAAAATCCCACTAGCTGTGGGGATGAAACTGCAGTGGTCCACAGGACCAGTGACTTCTCAGGAACCGGTGAGCCGAAACCTAGTACCCCACCCGCCGGGCCTGTGCACGTCACCACTTGTGCCTCTGAGCATAAGTCAGTGAAATCGTAACCCAGTCACCACAGCGGCCATTCGGCCACTAATGTCCAGTTTTGTCTTCAACATCCTGAACCCAAACTCTCTTTACTTATCTCAAAATACATGTTTTCTTGATGTGAAACTCAAATAAAGCAAACTTCTCAGCATGTGACGAAAGCGCGCGCGCCGCGGCGGCACTCACTTGGGCGGAACCTCCTGAGGGGCCGCGAAGCCGTGCCACAGGACGTTGCGGAGGTTCAGCCCACGCGGAGAGCCCACGAAGACCTTGAGCACGTCCATCTGGGAGAGGGGCAGGCCACGGGGCTGCTGAGCAGCCAGCCCAGCTGGGGCCGCGGGAGCCTCCCCCGGAGCCCAGGGGACCACGAGTGCGAGCACGGAGGGAACGGAAGGAGCCCTGCGCCCGGCAGCCTGTCAGACGCTTTCTGCCCGTGTTCCTCTCGCTCACCCGGACGACCTCTGAGGAGACGCTGCACTTCCACTACCCTCGTGAGAAGCATACAAGCGAGGAGGGGAGGGACCACGCGTGTAGGGCCCCAGGGCCACAGGGGATGGGAGCCCCCAGGACACACTGCTTCCACGCCACACGTGGAGAGGCCTGGTCTGTGGATAAAACACCTCCACAGCAAACGACAGACTAGGCTCCGCAGCAGGCAGCTGAGCGCCGAGGCGCGGCCTCCTGTCTGACTTGACGCTCTCGGTTCACCAGCTCCATCCTCCTACCTGTCAACACAAAGTGAAGACCCTCCCGAATCAAGGATCCTGCTTGTCCAACAGCAACACTTCCACCTTCCCTGGCATCCCCCGGGTGTGGAGCATCACGCCTTACAGGAGATTCACAACACACGGGAAGCTGCTCAGAGACTAAGAGGACTCAAACCCATGTCGTAGGAAAGAGGAGCTGAGCCTCCCAGAGACTCAGGAAAGGACTGAAGCTGCTTCATTCATCTGCAGACTCGGAGGGAAGAGGGGACGGTACTCTGCATGCTGTCACGAGCAGGAACTCACACAAGGGGTTTCGACTCAGCACCAGAATGTCTGATAGCCAGTCCTTCCGTGCTACTCCAGGAAGTCCTGGCTCTCACACTAACTTAAAATACTTTTAACATGAACTTTAACTTAACAACATTAATAATTAAATATTACTTGCCTTAAATTTACTATTATTTTAAATTAATTGTTCATACCATCTGGGAAATTACAAGTATATGAGCCAAGGAACTAGGAAAATTACCTGGGAGCTGAAAGGGCTGCGGGTGGACAGAAAGCTCACTGCACAACACAGGCAGGAAACAGAGGACAGAGCAAAACAAGGGATTTAAGAGTTCAGTGAGACTGTAAGCATCCTGTACTTCACTCCACACGCTCCACCAAACCAAACGACCCGAAGCTGACAAGGTGTAAGGAACCACCAGGAAGCGTGGGAAAGCTCCACTGACAACAGTTTCTCAGTGAGCCCGGTCTGTGAACGTCCCGGTGGGCACCACCCTGGCTTGCTTCTTCACCTTGACCTCACTTATTCAGTTGCCTGAAGGTTACTCACTGGTCTTAAAAAATCATGATCACGTGGCCCCGAGAAGATTCAGAAGTACCCATTTTTAAACTGGCATCTAAATTTTTTTTCAACTTAAGTTTCAGTAGCTGCAAAAGGTATACTTTCTCACATATTAAAATATTGATTTTTTAAATAATAAAATTGTAATATCAGTCTTTAAAGGGTTAAAATTTTACTCCTGAATAAGTTAGTATTATATCTTCTAGAATTACTATTATAATACATAATCGATGAGATCAACAGACTTCAAACTGCTCATCTGCCTGGCCCCCAGAGGTTATTATATCAGAGGCTATTCCTCCAGCGTCATTACACCAGAGGCTCCACACATGAGGTCCTCAAATGCGTTCATCACACCAGAGGTTCTTGCACCTGAGGTCATCGCAACTGCTCATCACACCACAGGCTCCACACCTGAGGATATCACACCTGCTCATCACACCAGAGGCTCTACACATGAGGTCATCAAATGGGTTATCACACCAGAGGCTCCACATCTGCTCATCACACCAGAAGCTCCACACCTGAGGTCATCACACCTGCTCATCACACCAGAAACTCTTACATCAGAGGCTCCTACACCTGAGGTCATCACATCAGAGGCTATCATCAAAGCACATTAACCAGGACAAGAGAGAGGTGTGTCTTTTGGCTGGAAGCATGGTAATTTTGGCAGAAAGGGTCTGTGGGAAAGGAAAGTAAGCTTGAATCCCTGAAATAATTAATTTTTCCCTAACATAGCATCAATTTTTGAGAAATAAAAATAGAGTTATCATTGATTGTTTTGGGCCCTTTTTCCTCCATCAGTTTTAAAGGGACAAGCTCACCACAGGCTGCCCAAAGACTTGAGCAAGTTCCTCAGATGCGAGCAGATCTCTTAAAAGAAAGGGGCAGTCCTTCCCAATCAGTAAATATACCTGAAATTCAAACAAACTTGTGTAACAACTGTATTACAATGAGCCAAATCACATTAGCCAGAATATCACCCACAAAGCAAATGCCTATACAGATGAAGGGAGGAAAGAACTGGAGACACTGATGTTTCTGATCTCACAATCATTCAAAAAGAAAAATATTTCAAAAATCTGTGCCAAGTGATTATATATGAAAACAATAATTAAAATCTAGAAATGTCAGTGAAACTGAAAAACCGTTTCCTGTTCATTCAGACACTTTACACAGCCAACAGTGAAAGAGTCCTCATGCTTACATCACCCAGGGCTCGCTCCAGACACGACGTGAGCTTCATGAAGCTGAGAGAAATACTGGGAGATTCAAGACTTCTCAAGGCATCAAGTATTTCAGGAAATAACTGTTTAGAATAAGACACATGTTAGAATTAGTGTTCAATAAGCATTATTTCTCAAAGTCACAATTCTATTAATGAAATTCAAACCTCTAAAGATTTCAATTAGCATATTTTAATGACTGTTTTGTTGTAGGTAAACATTTTTTATATAAATATAACAAGATACAAAGAATCAAGAAAAACGTTTGAATACCTAAGGAGGTTTTGCGAAGTTCTTTAAATGTTTATTAAAAGCAATAAATCTGGCATAACTGTAAACTGGAAAGTCAAATACTTTGACCTAAATATTTTATCTCATTTTGATTACTTCTTAAAAAGATAAATAAGGCAGCTCACCCTGCCATTTAAGGAAGCTACTACACAGGGAGAAGGGAAGGCCCTGCCACTCTGTATGAGGAAAGTCAAAGTACTTTAGAGTTAGATTTTTATAGTTACTTCTGTACTGTAATCACTTCATGTGCCAAGGGAAACGATTGGTTTGAACCTTGAACTACCCCACCTCCCTTCTGCTGCTATCAACAAGGCAAGCGTCCCTGCCTCGAGTCCCCTGGCCCCAATTGTAAGAACATCTTATGATCAGTCTGGAAGGTCTTTTTCTTTTTTTGGAGCTGTCCAGTTCTTTTGTCCCGGGACCAGCAGCACCCATGCACCAAAGCACCTCCCCGAACCCCGATCCTGACACCGCATCCAGAAACTTCCTTTCGGCAAAGGATGTCTTCAGCTCAGGCTTTGCAAACAGCTCCAACTTTCCCTTGCAACACTCAAGCCTTCTCACAACCCAGGGCCCGGAGGACAGGAGACCCCTTTAAAATCAGCAAGGAGCAAAGGCCTCTAAGTGGAATCTGCAGTCCTTCATTTCTAAGACTTTGTTGTTGTTCAAAAGTCAAACCTCTGGAACACCTGTCCACTGGAGCGCCGGTGCGTATCGCATTTCAAACTGCCCCTCGAGCAGAGACGACAGATGCAGATGGACAGCCCGGCACACGGGGCCCAGCAGCCGCACGCTTTCCCGGTGGTCCAGATCCTGGGCTGCAAGGGTGAGAAAGCAAGTGAGCTCCGCATCGGGTGATGACAACGCCTACATTGCCAAAGTGCTTCAATGACGAAATTTCCACAAAATTGAGAACCAGTTTAAACTGAACTTAAAACAAAGAGACTCATATTGTGGAAAATAAGTTACACATGTGTTTATCTGATTATAAAAGAAAAACTGTCAAGAGAGTTTGAAAAATACAGAAAGGTTCAAATAAGACAAAAAATATTTTTTAAATTTCTTTGCCTGTATGTAAACTTGTATATATAATACTTTAACCTGACTTTTTAATGTAACATTACTAGACTAGGAGATTTCCAATGACATTAATTTATAATAATTATTATTATTATTCTGGGACATATTTATAATATGAATTTTTGCTTTGAGGGTTTTTTCTGTGAGTTCTGGCTGAACATTTACATGGCTCACAACCCAAAAATATAAAAGGGTGGAAGTCTCTCTCCTGCCACCAGTTCTCCTTCTTATGGCAGCTTTCACATTTCAAGAAATGTTATACATTTCTTGAGTCCATTTAGAAATATTCATACATACTCAAGCAAATATTACATGTTCCCACTATTGTTTCACTCAGCCATATAGCTCAGAGAGATTTCTGGGCCAGAAGGATGGGCCTCCTTACTCTCTTTCGCGATTGCATAATGTTCCCTTGCACACATTTTTTATCATTTGACCGACCAATCTTGTAGTGCTTAACATCTGGCTATTTCCAGTTTTCTTCCCTTCTTTCTTTCTCTATTACAAATTGCTGCAAGGAGTAACCTGGCAAAGGTACACCTTCACACCTGTGATTGGACCTGTCTTGTATGTTCCTGGATGGAAGTGCTGGGCCAGAGCATGTTTGCTTATAATTTTTACAACTATTTAAAAACATTCCAATCCACATCCCTACTTAAAAAAGGTACAACAATGCCTAGAAGACATGTAAAATAACTGTATGTACCACTGGTCATCCCACACCCTTAAGTCATGACTTCTGTCTGCTTCCCTTTTCCACCTGGACTGCAGGCCGAGAGCCCTCGGCCCGCACAGCCTCTGACCCCTCCTCCTCACCCTCGGCTTCCTTCACTCCCTTGCGCTTCTCTGGTCTCACTCCTTCTCTTTCCACACCAATTCTTTTTCTCTTTGAGTTAAGCCTGTACTATTAATATAACATCTCCTAACCCAAATAGCGGTGATCAGAAAGGGAAAGTTTATAGGTTAAGACATTTTAAAGAGAACAGTATTGATGGGCATTTGGGCTGCAGGCAAAGTACAAACCTGATTCTGTATAAACTATGCAATCTGTAATTTTCTTCCAGCATACATCACCATTTTGAGTTACAATACTACTGATGTCGCAATTTTCTCTGACTTCAAACCCAAGTTTACAGATCATGTCATACACTGAAGGAGAAAGACAGGTGGCAATTGGCTCCCCAATTAATACCTGAAATATAAAACATAAAACACACTCTTTAACAGAAAATATTAATTTTATAATATATTTAAGTCATAGGAAAACTCTATCATGTCTTAAGTATAGAATATACTCAGGAATAGTTACTGTGTTAACACACTTTCTGGATGTCAGAAGCACTATATGATTAAAACATTGTGATTAAATATCAACTAAAGATTATTTATGCAAATATTTTCAAGTAAATGTTGCAAGATTTTAAGTTAAGTTTATTAAACATAATATTTTTAACATAAGAATTTACAGAAGCTCAAAATACTTTATGGATAGTGCATTATTCCTTTCACGATTCACAAATTATCCCAAAGTTATCAGAATAAGCATTTTTAAATGAGGGCTGAGAAAAATAGAAAATCAAACTACTAAATGAATTAAACATTAAATAATGTTAAAACAGAGCAAAATGCATAATTCTGACTCCCTACATAAGTGTGAAAAGCAGCAAACCATGCTGCTTTTTCATAAAAAATTAAATAAAACCAATTTTTCATAATTCTCCTAACATTACACTAAGATCGCCCAATAAATCTGCAGAGAGATCATATTCCAGGTCTGAAAAGGACCTGGTGTCTTTATGTGATGTGTTAAGGGGTGTGCATTTTCCAACATTAGTTAAGTCTTGGCAGCTCCCTAATTTGGAAGCCAGTTGGCTTCAGTTCCTCCATCCCCATCAGTATCACCCATTATCCTGTCCACTCTTCCTGTCCCCAAAAGCTTCATTCCCACCCTCAGCCTTGAAGTCAACCAATGCTTTCAGGCCCCAGCAACTGAGGTACTCCCTGAGAGATTTGCGTGGAATATTCAGCAATCCTGTGTGACACCCGGTCAGCCAGTCAGCACACTCTCCTTGGAGCACTGCAAGACAGCATGGGAGTGGGCACTGGCCTCTCCTGCCTGCAGCCTGGCAACTTCCTGTGCCTTTCTGGGCACAGAATTTCCACTCCTTTGAGCACTGCCCTGCAGTTGCAGTGCCTCCTGCTGCAGCAGCTGAATCCAGTCTGCGATCGTTCCAACACTTGCAGGACCAGCTTCACCCGAAAACGCCGACCAGAAACACGCACCATGGATCTGGTGACTTCTCTTCAGAACTCTGCATCCTACTTTCCAGGCTCTTTTATGCAGCTCTGTAGCACAATTTCCTCCTCAGAGACCTGAGTTTCAACCGTGCAGGGACCCTCCTCTAAGTGTCTAAGCTTTAAAATGCCAACCACTTCCCTCAGCTCCCTCAGTCCTCTGGAGGGACTGCTTCCTGCAGCTGCCGTCTCAACCACACTTTCAGAGATCTCACTTTATCCTTTCCTATAACTAGTTAACCATTTTATTCCTAGTTAACGCTTTATATCAAATGATCATAGTGTGAAAACTCCTATGGTCTGTCTCTGGACAAATACACAAACATAACTCAAAAAAGTTACATTCACATCAAAAGGGACTCCTTGCATTTTTTAAAAGCATTTCAACTCTAAAGGAATAAGCTGAAGTTCTGGAGTGACAGGAGACAGGCAGAAATGATATTTCTGCACAAAAACTCATCTACTCCACTAGTAAAGTGGGCCCTGAATCTCACAATTGAGGTTGTAAGTCAAGTCTCTTTTGGTTGTAGACACTGGATCAACACAATCATCCCTCAGACTCAACCAAACAGTAAGATCCCGGAGCAGAGAGACCAGGTCTTACACAACGTTGTATGCCCAGGACACAGCAGATGCTGGAACATGATAAATGAAAAACAAGAGTTAAATGAATTATTGGCTCCTCCTATCCCCAGTCGGTGGCTCAGAGGGTACAGAATCTGCCTGCAATGCAGGAGACTGGGGTTCAATCACTGGGTTGGGAAGATCCCCTGGAGAAGGGAATGGCAACCCACTCCAGTACTCTTGCCTGGAGAATCCCATGGACAGAGGAAGCTGGTGGGCTACAGTCCATGGGGTTGCAGAGAGTCCTATACAACTGGGCAGTTAACACTTTCACCCTGAGTTGAAATGGACCTCTCTAAGGCTCCAAGACCTTCAGATTTGGAGAATGGGTACATTCTACTCCTACAAATAGACATGCAATTCTAGAAGCTGGCTTCTAGATTAACTTTTTAAGCTCATATTCTTTTAGACAAGAAGAGAGTCTGCTGTTAATCGAGAAATAAAATTCAACCTCAAATCAACAAATAATACATGCTGCAACGCTTTAACTCCCACTCAAGACAATAAATCTCTCTTCTGTGTGTTACACCCAGGGACATGTCTGTCCTCCCACTAGAAGCCCCAAAGCCTGAATTTTGTGTGTGTGTGTGTGTGTACCCCTCCGTGTCATCTTTGGTACTTCAGTGTTTTGCCCAGAGCAGCATGGGATAGTGCAAATGATCTGTGCTTGAGAGCTAGAATGATCTGAATTTGAATTCTTCCTCAGACTCTTTTCCACCTCTTGCCTTGGGACCGCTGACATACCTGAGATTTTTAAGTGTAAAGCGGGGCAAAACATGACCGCCTCCTATGGTTGCAGTAATCAGAGATAACGCTTGAGAAGCGCCTAGAGCACAGTACTCAGCAAGTACCAGCTAGTGCTAAAACCTGAAATCCCTCCGAGAGGAAAGTAAAATCTTTGTTGCGAGGCAACCCCACTGAGGCAGCCAGTTATGAGACCCTTTGATTTAGTTTTACGTTATCAAAGTGGCCTAAAGACGCCAACTACAATTCTAATTTGCAAGTGTGAACCAGAGGCGAGACCACCGCACATACTTCCCACATCGCCAAGGGACCGCCGAGAGGACACTTCCTTTAAGGACGAAGGGCAGTCAGAACAAAGGCTAAAAGCCACGGCGCGCTGTGCGCGCCCGTCCGCGGCCCCGGGGACAGCTCCTGGACTTGGCGGTCGCGGTGGCACGGCTCCCCCGCCGCGCGCAGGGCGCAGGCTCGGCCCCCACGCCACGCCCTCGCAGACTTGCGCCCCCGAACGCGGAGTCGGCGACACCAGAGCACGAGGGCGGGAGACCAGCAGGTGCCCACTTGGACGGACACGGCCCGCCCTCCTCAGCCGCGGCACCGACTGCAGTCAAGACGATGCTCCCCGCGTCGCGGCCTGACGGACGGACTCAGGTGCTCTCTGGAACTGCCGCCACCTGGACTCTACCTCCATGACTTCCGGCTCCCGGCCGCGGCGCCGAGGGATGACGCGCTCATGCCACGCCCCTCCCTGAGGCGCATTTCCGGCTGGCGCGACGCACGCGAGAGACTGGAACTCGAGCAGAAGGCGGTGGAGGCGTTTGGGCGACCGCGAAGGCGGTCCGCAGCGCCGGCGGGATGGAGAAGAGGGGTCGGGGCGCGAAGGCGCCCGCGGTGTCGGCGCCTCAGCAGCCGCCAGTGACGCCTCGCAAAGAGAGGAGGCCTAGCATGTTCGAGAAGGAGGCTGTGAGTGCGAAGACGGGGCAGGGGCCGACCTTGGGCTGCAGAACTCTCCCGCCTTTGTGGTGTAGACCCTCGAGCACCGCGTAGACCAAAACAGCTGCTTCACTTCTCTTCAAATTTACTCAGCTCCAGGTTTCCCGAGAGGAACTTTTTCCAGAAATGCGTAATTTTAGTGTGTTTAATGTCATTACTGAAACCAGGGGCAGATTTACTAACCAGAAGCCGGTGTATGCGTGTTTTCTTAAAACAAGAATGTTTGGATATACCAAGCAGAACAATGAAATGTTTTGAGTTTTTGTTAATAGCAGCAGCCTCAGTATTTGGAGAACATAAAAAAGAGAAGGTTAAATTGAAAATAATTCTTCCCATTAACTTACTATCTGAAATGAATGAATAATGTCATTCAGTTTTATTGGTGGTATAGCACCAGATTTCTATGTGACCATAACCTGGAAACCATTAGTGATCAGTACTCCATATTTTATTGAGACTTTCAAGAGAGAAAAGAATTTGTCCAAGGGTACAGAATTGTAGTAACAAAGCTGGGGCTTCTGGTCCACTTGTGTGACGGTTTTCATGCCTACTTAATGGAACCCATAATCAAGAGGATGGAGGAGAGAGAATTTTTGAAGATCTTGATTCCCTCCCCACCCCCACCCCTCCCCCAAAAGTCTTGGTAACATTTCAGGTTCTAATGAGTGCTCTTTGCTGTCTGTGTTTTACAGAGGAAAGAGAAAAGGAGGAAAAGTAAGAAGGGCACGTTCACAGAACTAAGAGCACAGCAAGGCTGACTGCTTAATGTATTGGACTTAAAACTCATGCTCCCAGAAACCATACTGTATAAAAGTCTGAGTAACTATAGGTCACCTACAGTAATGAAAAATATTTCTATTTTGAGCCGCCCTTTATAAACTTACTGTCTTCTAAAGATCTGAAGTCTTGGAAAGTAAGTTTGAATCCAAAAGGAGGGGACGACAGACACAAACATTTGGTGTACATGCCAGAATCTGGGGAGAAGGGGACATGGACAAGGCAGTGCTTTCTTATTTGATAATGAATGGGATTAATTATAGTTGTCTCTAAAGTCTGAGCTTTTACAGGTCAGAAATTTGAAAAGACGGATAAATGGAAAGAGACAGAAAAGACTTCACAAATTCTCATTAAGTGTGCCTGAAGACAGTGAGTTACTAATTATCATTCCTGACTTTTAGGTAGCTGATGACTCTCATGATCCTGAGCATAAGAAAAATTAGGACACACAATTTAATCATTATAAGTATCTTTTGATTTTCTCTCTCCTGTGTCCATTTATTTTCTTTCATAGTAGCACCTCAGTTTTCTTTGGAGAATGGACTCATTCCCCATTGAATAGAGTTTTGGTGGGACTGTCAATCACCCTGTTTAACTTTATAGTGAGGATAAGACCAAGGCTAGGCTCATTAGATGAACTCTCTCTGGAATAATTCAGGAAAATGACCGAGATTAATTTAAATTGAAGTGGCATACTGAAGTGCCTAGTGCTTTAGCATTCTCTTCCATTCTGTGAGCTACCTTATGTCTTTCCAGTTAGTTATGTATGTGGTTAACAAGAATCATTTCCTGTTGCTTGCAACCAACGATTCCAAAACCTTCAATTACTGTAATTGAAAACTTGATTAGTCTCACATGTCTACATACATTTGAAAATCTAAATATAGCGTTAAAAATATAAATTGAGTGGAATCAACAGCAGATTTGACTCAGTAGAACAGTATTAGTGAATTAAAGATGGCAGTCAGTTCATTTGCTCGGCCGTGTCTGACTCTGTGACCCCATGAATCACAGCACGCCAGGCCTCCCTGTCTATCACCAACTCCCGGAGTTTACTCAAACTCATGTCCATAGAGTCAGTGATGCTATCCAGCCATCTCATCCTCTATCATCCCCTATCATCCCCTTCTCCTGCCCCCAATCCCTCCCAGCATCAGGGTCTTTTCCAGTGAGTCAGCTCTTGGCATCAGGTGGCCAAAGTATTGCAATTTCAGCTTCAACATCAGTCCTTCCAAGGACCACCCAGGACTGATCTCCTTTAGGATGGACTGGTTGGATCTGCTTGCAGTCCAAGGGACTCTCAAGAGTCTTCTCCCAACACCACAGTTCAAAAGCATCAATTCTTTGACGTGCAGCTCTCTTTATAGTCCAAATCTCACACCCATACAAGACCACTGGAAAAACCATAGCCTTGACTAGACGGACCTTAGTTGACAAAATAATGTTTCTGCTCTTTAATATGCTGTCTAGGTTGGTCATTAACTTCCCTTCTAAGGAAGTTGAGCCAGTCTGTTGTTCTGTGTCTGGTTCTAACTGTTGCCTGCAAGGTCAGGAAGCAACAGTTAGAACTGGACATGGAAAAAAAAAAAAAAAGAACCGGACATGGAACAACAGACTGGTTCCAAATAGGAAAAGGAGTACATCAAGGCTGTATATTGTCACCCTGCTTATTTAGCTTATATGCAGAGTACATCATGAGAAACGCTGTGCTGGAGGAAGCACAAGCTGGAATCAAGATTGCCGGGAGAAATAGCAATAACCTCAGATATGTAGATGACACCACCCTTATGGCAGAGGGTGAAGAGGAACTAAAGAGCCTCTTGATGAAAGTGAAAGAGGAGAGTGAAAAACTTGGCTTAAAGCTCAATATTCAGATAACTAAGATCATGGCACCCGGTCCCATCACTTCATGGCAAATGGATGGGGAAACAGTGGAAACTGTCTGACTTTATTTTTCTGGGCTCCAAAATCACTGCAGATGGTGATTGCAGCCATGAAATTAAAAGACGCTTGCTCCGTGGAAGGAAAGTTATGACCAGCCTAGACAGCATATTAAAAAGCAGAGACATTACTTTGCCAACAAAGGTCCATCTAGTCAAGGCTATGGTTTTTCCAGTGGTCATGTATGGATGTGAGAGTTGGGCTATAAAGAGAACTGCACGCTGAAAAATTGATGCTTTTGAACTGTGGTTTTGGAGAAGACTCTTGAGAGTCCCTTGGACTGCAAGCAGATCCAACCAGTCCATCCTAAAGGAGATCAGTCCTGGGTGTTCCTTGGAAGGACTGATGTTGAAGCTGAAACTCCAGTACTTTGGCCACCTGATGTGAAGAGCTGACTCATTGGAAAAGACCCTGCTGCTGGGAGGGATTGGGGGCAGGAGGAGAAGGGGATGACAGAGGATGAGATGGTTGCATGGCATCACCAACTCAGACATGGTTTTGGGTGGACTCCGGGAGTTGGTGATGGACAGGCAGGCCTGGCGTGCTGTAGTTCATTGGGTCACAAAGAGTCAGACACAACTGAGCAACTGAACTGAACAAATTTCTTAGGAGGCAGGTAAGGTGGTCTAGTATTCCCATCTCTTGGAAAATTTTCTAGTTTGTTGTGATTCATACATTCGAAGGCTTTAGCGTAGTCAGTGAAGCAGAAGTAGATGTTTTTATGGAATTCTCTTTTTCTATGATCCAACGGATGTTGGCAATTTGATCTCTGGTTCCTCTGCCTTTTCTAAATCCACCTTTAACATCTGGAAGTTCTTGGTTCAAGTACTGTCGAAGCCTAACTTGGAGATTTTTGAGTGTTAGTTTGCTAGTGTGTGAGATGAATGCAATTGTGCAGTAGTTTGAGCATTCTTTGGCATTGCCTTTTTTGGGATTGCAGTGAAAACTGACCTTTTCCAGTTCTGTGGCCACTTCTGAGTTTTCCAAATGTGCTGGTATATTGAATGCAGCCCTTGAAAAGCATCATCTTTTAGGATTTGAAATAGTTCAGCTGGAATTCAATCACCTCCACTAGCTTTGTTTGCAGTCATACATCCTGAGGCCTGTTTTGCACTCTGGGATGTCTGGCTCCAGGTGAGTTATCACATCATGGAGGTTATCTGAGCCATCCTTGCATTCCTGGAATAAACAGGCATCCCTGGAATAAGTTCCATTTTCCTGTTCAAATCCTTCTATGGTTCCTCACTGTTCTGGGAATAAGTTTCAACTTCCCTTTCAAGTTCTACTTAGTTCTACACGATGCCTTTTAAGCCTTATTCTACTACTATTTTCCCCACTCTAAATAATTCATACATGCCAAACACATGTTTATTCTCAGAACATATTAAGTACTTTGTCCTGCCTATTTCCCATTCCTTTCAGACATCAGCCCAAACTTTATTTCAGAAGAGACTTCTCCAATTATTCAGTCAAAATTAGACCCTCATGGTGAGTTTCTATCAAGTCATGTGATTTTATTTGTGTAGCAATTACCACTATTTTGGAGAAGGAAATGGCAACCCACTCCAGTATTCTTGCCTGGAAAATCTCAAGGACGGAGGAGCCTGGCAGGCTACAGTCCATGGTGTTGCAGAGTTGGGCACAACTGAATGATTTCACTTCCTTTTCCACTAGAAGGATAACTCCGTGGATTCAGACTCTTTATTATGAGTTAATACAAGTAAAACAATTCCTGGTTATTATAATGAAGTTCACCACTGTAACTTCAGAGCATAGAGTACTTAACTGTGTGTGCATGCCAAGTCCCTTCAGTTGTGTCTGACTCTTCCCAACCCAGGGATCAAACCCACATCTCTTAACATTTCCTGGATCTGCAGGCGGGTTCTTTACCACTAGCACCACCTGGGAAGCCCCCAAGTGTTGATTGCTTAGTCATGTCCTACTCTTTGTGACTGCATGGACTGTAGCCCACCAGGCTCCCTATGTCCATGGGATTTCCCAGGCCAGAATATTGGAGTTGGTAGCCATTCCAGGAGATCTTCCCATCCCAGGGATCAAACCCATGTCTCTTACATCTCCTGCATTGGCAGGCAGATTCTTTACCATTAGTGCCACCTGGGAACCCCATACTTAACCACAGTAGCCACTAAATAGATAGTTCTTTAAGGCAGGTTGAATGTTATGAAATAAATGTTGAATGTCAAAAGCATGGAATAACTTTTGTTATCTTTTCAATTAAAACTTATGAATGACTTAACAAATAATTGTATTATTTATTCAAAGATAAAATAATTAACATTATAAGAAGACAATAAAGGATAATATTTTCATAATGTCAGAGTGAAAAGTGAAAGTGAAGTTGCTCAGTAGTGTCCAACTCTTTGCGACCCCATGGACAGTAGCCTACCAGGCTTCTCCATCCATGGGATTTTCCTGGCAAGGGTACGGGAGTGGGGTGCCAGTCCCTTCTCCAGGGCATCTTCCCAACCCAGAAGTTGAACCCAGGTCTCCCACATTGCAGGCAGATGCTTTACCCTCTGAGCCACCAGGGAAGCCCCAGTGTCTAGAGTAGGGAACATGAAAGGTTTTCCTTACATACCTGTCAGCCATTCAGTTGGCCTCTCAATGGCCATCTTGTTTCTAGTTCTGCATCTTCCATGGATGTTCTAAATCTATGCATTCAAATTTGTGTTTGTGTGTTTTTGTGTTTATAGATAGATGATACCTATGTTTTTTTTCTCCTTGTCCAAGTTGATAGCCAGGATTGACTCTAGGATTTAGCAACCACATAATCATAGAAGTCTGTTATAATGGATTTCCAAGCTTTGTGTCAGCCCTGTCCCACTGCCCCAAGGTCCTTAAAACTGAAATTTCATTATGGAATTTAAAAAGTCGTCTCTCTCTGTCTCTCTTCCTCTCCTTTTAGTATGCACAAATTTTAAGAGAAAGGCTGAGAGAATCAGTCCATGATGTTCAATATGTAGAGCCTCCATTTGATGACTCAATTGCTGATCTAGGAAAAGAATGGAAGAGTGCCCTGGCAAAACTAAAGTTTGCTAATTCATATAGAATGGAGCCATTGAAAAAATTCCAGGCTCATTCAGTAGAAACAAAAGTCCAGCAGATACTAAAGGTAGGTTGATAGGTATATATGATACCAATATCTTAATTTTGGGGATGTGATAAACCGTGTTAAGATTTATGGCATTATAGTTACCCTGATTTTTTTTGTAGCATTTATCTCTGAAAGTACTTTGTAGTCATACTGAATAATCTTCACGTTGATGCTATAATTAAAACTAAATCACAAAGAATTTTTTGGTATTTCATTTAATGCTTAATTATCCATAAATTACTTATCCTGCAGGTTCCATGTTTCTCCCATATTTGAAGGAATGAGTAAAAAATAAAACCCATATTGAATATGTGTGGAAAACTGATTCATTACTACACTAAACATCCTAAGAACAGGCAATCCCCAACTTATGTGTGGATTTTCTTCTTCATTAAACGAGCTGGAATATGAAGTTCATTTAAGACAGTTGTTTGAAACTCAAACACATGTTTTCAGGCTAGTCCAACAAAGCTTCAATTTTACAGTTAATGCTGTAATACCAATATTAATTATACTAGTGTTTGTGTCTGAAGGCTACATTGTTCAGATGGAAAGAATCCCCTTCACCATCTTTCCTAATAAAGGGCCAAATTAAAAACTTTCAAATTATAGAATGTTTGTTTAAGGGGCCACCTTTCTGAATCCCCTTTTCACTTTTGGGCATCAGGCACCCAGGAGATTTCTGGCGACCAGGTTCCCTCTGTGGGACTCTACCCTGCCTAATCCCCCTCTAAGAGTACTCCTTGTTTTAATATTACCTCCCCCACCTCAAATTTGCAAGATGTATTCCTTCAGTAACAACTGATGTAAGCTGGCTATTGGGAAGAAAGCGTATGTTTAATTTCTTTTGTATAATTTTTGCTGTGTGCTTAGTTGCTTAGTTACGTCCAACTGTTTGCAACCCCCTGGACGATAGCTTGCCAGGCTCCTCTGTCCTTGGGATTCTCCAGGCAAGAATATTGCAGTGGGTTGCCATTTTCTTGATTTACATCCCGTTAATTGTATCAGAGTTAATTCTTAAATGAATATGTTAATACAGAAGAATATTTAGGAAACCCATTTCCCCCACCTCTCTCCACCACCATAGACATAGATACATTTCTAAACTGAAGTAATAATTACCAGATAATATTCAGAAACTATATTATGGCTCATAACTTGGAAATAAATTCAACTCAATATAATAATTATTAACCCTAATAGCAGTTCCTTAATAGCAAGCATTTTGATGTGTCTCTCACTTGGCCCTACAACATTGACTGAGTTCAAGTTCACTGGGAATAGCAGAATTTCAAGGTGTACTTACATGTGATCATTTATAGAATTGCATTGAGCATAAGGGGCTTGGAACAGCTTATTGGGTATGTAGGGGGAAGGCTGGGGCCACTAAGAGGCTGGGGATTTTCCTTTGTATTTAGGGAACATTTTTACCATTCTAGATACAGAAAGCTGGAGATGGTAGGTATCTTCCTATAGCAACTATTCATTAATTGTTAACATGGAACATGTATGTGTTAATAGATAAAGCCTGGGATCTCTTAGGCAGATTCAGAAGAGAGAATGGATGTTGCTAAGTGTACAAAAAATTGAGCTAAATGCCCGAGGGAACTAAATGCTCCTAGACCCAGTTCAGATCCAAAAGCCTTCTAGAAGGGAGGCACAACCAAAACATGGGTAATTTATTTGGTTTTATTTGCCTGTAAAATTGGCAGGTAGGTATCCATTTGTTATCATTAGAACCTAGAACATTGGTTAGTTTGTCATTAGTCTGAGTCAATTAATTAAAGGCAGGTGCCACCTGCTCACCAGCTGGTCCAGGTCTGCTTGTGGTCTGTAGAAGAATGCAGTGTTTCATGGTCCACATCTGTCTACCCACTCCCAGCTACCTATTAATTTAGTGACAAACACGATGAGCAATCTTTGACTTCCATATTACTCTTCTGGAGGTAAAAGCAGTAGAGTGAGAAGCTACAGGGGCAGGATTAGAAAGACGTGGCCTTTAACTGAGGGAGACAAGAAGACAGGAATAGGGATTTCCGTGGAGGTCCAGTGGTTAAGACTCTGCTCCCAGTGCAGGGGGTGTGAGTTCAGTTCCTGATCAGGGAGCTAAGATTCCACAGGCCGAGTGGCAAAAAAAAAAAAAAAAAAAAAACCCTTGCTTCTCCCTAATGAATGTTTGGCAGAGTAATCTAGTAAAGGGAAGCTTAAGCTTAAGGGCTGCTAATGAAGAGCAGTTGAACATAATTTTAAAACCAAATCAAATTTATTTCAAAATTGTTACTGAAATAAGTTGGTAAGCATATCAACCATTTAATATCATTTGGTTAGAGATATGTGTATGTTTCCAAAAGCTGCATATATTAATTAGTAATTAATAATTATTATGGCCAATAATTAAATATTAATTTTCTACTTCAATTTTTATTTAAAATTTGAAGATTAAAATATCTTTCTTAATTTTTTTAAAGGAAAGTCTTCAAGATGTCAAATATGACGACAAAGTCTTTTCTCATTTGTCACTTGAATTAGCAGACCGCATATTGTCATCGGTCAAAGAATTTGGGTACCACCGTTATAAGTTCATTATAAAAGTATTATTTATTCAAAAGACGGGTCAGGCAATCAATGTAAGTACCTCCACGTGGGAGCATGGCGGGAGGACTTGGCCCCAGGGAAGGCTGCCACCCACAGGACAGTCGCCAGGCTTGCAAGGAGGAGAGAATTCTACCACATCTACCTGCACACTTAGGGAATGGGGAGCTTCCAGGTGGACAGGTGGCTCCTTGGGATGATCTGGAGAAGGGGAGGTTATCCTCTGATGCCTGAACAAAGAGAAGGAACCAGCTGTGCTAAAGATCAGGGAGAAAGTCCCAGCAGAGAAAAACATGGAGTGCAAAGACATGGACTTGGCTGGTAACCAGAGAGATGGGTGTATTTAGGCAGCCCCATCCCAGAAGTGAGCAGCTTAGGACACCAGTCATGTGCTTGCTTATTGTCCTGTGGGTCAGCTCAGTCTGGATGGGCTGGGTGGACTTTCTTCTGTTCTCACCTGTGCACTTTCAGCCATCTGGTGATGCAGCTGGCCCAGAGGTCCCATGAAGCCTTGCTCACAGTTGTGACCATTGGTTTCCCTGCACAGACGATATTGTCCTCCAGAGGAGGAATGGTGTCCTTACATGGGGCTCCTTGAAGCATTCCAGAGGTGAAAGCAGAAGACTTCCTAAGGCCTCTCTTGGAAGCTGCGCAGTGTCACATTATTTTGCTCAGGGCAAATCCCAAGGTCAGTTCATATTCATGGGGTGGAAAAGCAGGCTCAACCTCCTGATGGGAGAAGCTCACCACAGAAAGGTCAGATTTTGTGTGGCTTTGTACATGAAGCAAAGGAGTTAGGATTTCTCTAACAGCCTGCTTATAGGATCAGTACCATTTCTTCATTTCAAGACAAGACCCTAACAAACTTTTGGTTGAAAATCTGCGGGTAGGAAGGATAATGCCTTACTCTGGACTGTGACAGCACAGTTAGTCTTGCCTGCAGAACTCCTAGACCCAAGTTACAGAGTCCCTCCCGTTCTGCCCCAGGACTCACTGCTAAGGTCAGTCTCTCTGTGTTAGACAACTTACCCTCTCCAGTAAAGAGAAGATGGGCCCAGGAAGCATCGCTATTAAGTCTTTTCAGCAAAGGGAAAATTGGACAAATTACTTTTAAAATAAAACTTCCTAAGATTGTGATTCAACTTCTGAAAAAACCAAACTTGTATAGATTAAAGAATTATTTTTTAACATGTTTGATCTAAAGTGGGCCTTCTGAACATTTCTGTCCTAGATTGCCAGCAGATGGATCTGGGATGTGGCGTGGGACAGCTGGGTTTCTGCGAAACATGAAACTGAAACATTCGTGGCGTTGGTCTTAGTGTTTGCGCTTTACTGTGAATAGCTTGTTCCATGGACCAAAGAGTGTTTACTGCTAAACTTTTCTAAAATACATGAAAATTTATAGACTTGTGAATTTCATAGTAGTTTTGATTAACTATATTCTTATATCTCCAATTGAAGCTTCTTAATTGTATTCTTTTAACAACAAACAAGTAAAAGCTGGATTTTTACCTTTATACTTACTAGTTATAATATTTATTAACATTGTATTACCCCAAAGTATAAAGTATAGGTATATGCCTTTTTCATACATATGAATGTTTATAGTGGATTTATGGAGAAATTATCATTCTTGTTTTGTTGTTGTGCAGTCACTCAGTCGTGTTTGACTCTTTGCAACCCCCTGGCCTACAACACACCAGGCTTCCTGTCTCTTCACTATCTCCTAGAGTTTGCTCAGACTCATATCCAGTGAGTCGGTCATGCCACCCCACTGTCACATCCTCTATTGTCCCGTTCTCCTGCCTTCATTCTTGTTAGAGTTAAGAAAATTAGAATTTGCTGTGGGAAATTAGGACACAACCTTGTAAAATGTCAAATTAAGTGAATGTTACAGTGGATTTTGGAAAACTTCCAAAGGAAGATATATTTTGTATGCTGTCCTAATATACTGCATGCATTCTTTTTAAAGAAGTTACCAAGTTTGAAAGAAAGATGTTGAGATGTTTAATACTTGCCTAAGTACTACCTCTCCCTCCAAGCAAAACACTTGCAAGTGTGCAGTTTGTTAGTCTGTTCATCAGGCTCTTTTTAGTTGCAAGAACCAAAAAATGTAACACAGTCATCTTTAAAAAGAGCGAAATTGTATTTCCCAGGCCTTTGATCAAGGATCCAGGTTCTTTTTGTCTTCCTACTCTCCCCTTGGACATCTATGCACAGTTGTTTACCTTTGGTTCAGTTCAGTCGCTCAGTCGTGCCGGACTCTTTGTGACCCCATGAACTGCAGCACGCCAGGTCTCCCTGTCCATCACCAACTCTCAGAGTCCACCCAGACCCACGTCCATTGTGCCCGTGATGCCATCCAGCCATCTCATCCTCTATGGTCCCCTTCTCCTCCTGCCCTCAATCTTTCCCAGCATCAGGGTCCAGCATCAGTGTCTTTTCAAATGAGTCAGCTCTCTGCATCAGGTGGTCAAAGGATTGGAGTTTCAGCTTCAACATCAGTCCTTCCAATGAACACCCAGGACTGATCTCCTTTAGGATGGACTGGTTGGATCTCCTTGCAGTCCAAGGGACTCTCAGAGTCTTTTCCAACACCACAGTTCAAAAGCATCAGTTCTTCAGCGCTCAGCTTCCTTTTTACCTTGGTAGAATTTAATCGCATTCCCATGGCTCAGTTATGACTCACTCCTTGGGGTGCGACTGGAGCTCACCTTCCCTGAAGCACGTGGCCACGTGGAGAGTGGACACCACTATCAGTGGGAGTTCCTCTAGAAAGAAGCAGGGGGTGGGCTTAGGGGAGGCAGCCAGTAATGTCTGTGATAATTCATTCTGTTTTCACAGTTATACTCAGAACCTGAAAATCCATGTCAAATTTAATGAACAGTAAAAATACAGATTAGTTGAATAATCTATAAACAGGAAAACAGAAAGATGAGAGCTTTCTTTTCACCTGTGTGTTATAATGTGTTGGATAATCCAGTACTGGCAGTTCCATGCTGCACAGCAGAGACATGAGAGTTGTAGCCCAAAGAATCCTTAACAGAGAAGTCATTGTTCGCGAACTTTGGCCACAGGTAATAATAAACCTAAGAGGGAGCTCATGGCAGTCAGTGTTCTCTCCTGGTGAGCTTATCAGGGGATACACGCTTCCTGGCATCGAGCCAACCACTTATAAATGTGACTTTGTAAAGTGAGAAGTAATACCTTTCTCCGAGGGTTAGTTTGTGAATTGAGTGAGCTAATATACAGTCAGGCTGTTATGCCCAGCACTTAGCATAACCCTGGAGGGTACCAAGTCTTGAGATGTTCCCTGTTATCATTTGGTTTGACAGTTCAGATGACCTTCAACTCTGCTTCCTCTTGCCCTTCTCTCAACCCCGTTCGTACTTAGTTGTTAAATTCTGTGGATTCTGTTTCTCTGAAGTGACTCAGATCATCCCTCTTTCCTCCCCCACTGTGACATCTCTTGTCTGGGTCTTCACTTCGCTCACATTTCCATAGTCCCTTTCTTTTATTCATTTGTGTGTTGATTGTTTTGTTCAACATGTCACTGGTCTGCCATGTGCCAGGCACTGGGTGAAATGCATGGTGTGAGCAGTGAACAAAATGGACAGGGCCCTTGCCTCCCCGGCGTGTTTATTGTACCAGGACGCTAGTATTAAATAAGTGTACCTCTGTAAATCGAGGCAGTGCTTCTAAGGATGAACCAGGGAGGAGATCCAATGACCTTTCGTTGCTGCCAGTCTTGTCTCCATCTGTAAGACTGAAGAGGTAACCGTAGTGGAAGCATGACTTTGGTTATGTCACTCCCTGTCTCAGAACCCCTGTCATTCTTGGAGTGAATACGAACTCTTACGTTCTAGAGTCTCCAGGATATAAAATTCTCCATTTCTCAAGATTTAGTGGATTCCATGTGCATCATAAACACCTCTAATCCTAGCAACACTGCCAACCCACATCTCACTTCTCATCCCACCTGCATTAGACACGCTCCTTTCTGTGCTCCTGAGATCGTGCATGCATTCCCGCCTCCCTCGCACCACAGACTCCTTCCCTTGCCGCCTCCTCAGAGCTGCGTCTGTACCAAGAAAACCGCTGCCTGCGGTCATCACACTCTGCCCGCTCCACCCACAGAAGTGTGAGGTGACTGCAGCCACCAAAGCAGGAGGGCGAACACTGAAACCGTGCCTTCTGAGCCGCTGTCCTCCCGCCATTGAGGAGCCGTAAGGATCGACCACGTCAGATGGCACGTGTGCGTTTCCTTTAGTCCCTGCGGAGCTCTGGACACCCACTCGTCCGAGTCCCTGCTTCTCAAAACTTTATAGCCGGTCATTGACCTTCATTTACATGGTTCCTCTATTCTCCCAGCCTCTGCTCCAGATGCGTTTTGAGTTTCTTTCCTTAAAACAGCGACCTGACTTCTCCCTGAGGAGGAGTCTCACTGCAACCCTCTCAAGTAAAAGCTGGTGTTTCTCTCATCCCTAGTGCCTCATTCCTCAGAGCCAGGAGGTAGGGCAGGCAACCCCCGACTGTGAAAAGCTCCAGCTCCTGCAGACCCACGCCATCTGGATATACATAGTTTGTCACCTCTGTGTGTGACTTGCCTGAAAGTCCCCTGGGGTGTTCCTTCTCATTACTTGAAAACCTGAGCTGCTGGGTCACAAGCTTCATCTCCACTCAACTCCTGCCATCGTTCTTTGTGACTTCAGTATCCACAGAGATAATCATCCAGTATGGCAGTTCTCACTTTGCATGTTTTTACTACAGTGTAGTTAAGTTACACCAGTCCCCGAACAGTGTGGTTCATCTCTCACTGACCACAGTGGATTGCCCGTGAGGAGCTGCAAGAAGTACAAATTCCTCATCCAGCTCTGCAGTCCCCAAGTCATTATGTAAACAGCAGATGGGCATCATGAGCTTTCTGTCGAAGCCCTTTAGTCACTGATCACTGCGCTTCTCCAGCGCTTCAGGTCACAAGACAGCAAAGCATGTACTCATGTTACCTGCTTGCCTCCCTGTGATGAACCCGTGTGATGTTTTACAAAAATGGACAGCCTAAAGAGGAAATTGGCCAAAAAGGTGAAAGTGCAGCAAAGAAGTGATGATGCTAGAAATGAAATTGGTTAGGAAACTTGAAAATGACAACAGCAAAATCAAGACAGGGTGAGACCTCAGCCTGCCTGAAAGGAAGAACCATGGGGAGAAAGTCCAGGAAGCAGGAAAAACGAGGTAAAGTTGTGTGGACATCTTTCAGTTTGAGTTGCTTTTGGAACAGAAAGCTACTTTCGGTTGAGAAAGACTGTCTTCTACTTTGGATACAGTATCTTCTGTTCCACATCAGCAGATTCAGCCAACTGCAGGAGGCAAGGTAGTGTAGGATGTATTTAATGAGAAAATCTGTGTAAGTGGACCTGCACAGGGCAAGTGTCAACTGTAATAATAATAATAAAAACCTCAATCAGTTTGACTAGCATTCAGGCCAAAATGTCAAAGTTCGTTACTATGTTAAAAGGAAACTGTAATTACAAAGAGACAGAAAAGCAAACTTTTCTGCCAGTGAAGACTGGTTCCATCATTTTGGACAACTACAAGAACTGATTCACACTGAGCAAGCTGGTGGCTCAGTGCTGTGAAATATGCACCCAGATTTCATAGGTCAGTTACAGTCACTGGTCATGACAAAAGGATGAAGATGTTGAGAGGAAGTGAGACTGATTTAAAACTTCACGTTGAAGAGACTCTCGGAGATAATTTACAACACAAAATACAAAAGATAAAATGTTGGAAGCCAATCCAAACTTCAAAATAAGTATGAAAATTTATCAAGGCATAGAAAAAGGTAAGTTGTAGGGGGAGAAAAAGGCAAGCACAATTTAAATTACTCTTGGCAAAGTTATTAAAAATAAAATAGTAATTCTGATGTTGAAGCTGAAACTCCAATACTTTGGCAACTTGATGAGAAGAGCTGACTCATTTGAAAAGACCCTAGTGCTGGGAAAGATTGAGGGCAGGAGGAGAAGGGGATGACAGAGGATGAGATGGTTGGATGGCATCACTGACTCAATGGACATGGGTTTGGGTGGACTCCAGGAGTTGGTGATGGACAGGGAGGCCTGGCGTGCTGCGGTTCATGGGGTTGCAAAGAGTCAGACACGACTGAGCAACTGAACTGAACTGAGTGTCTCTCATGTTTCAAATTATAGTGTACTAAGTAAATACTACTTTTGCAATGAAAATTCTGCATACATGTATAACTGGCAATAAGGGAGTTTTCAATGTTTTAACAAAAAGTTTTTACAGTCATAGAAGAACTGTACTTTGTAATAAGATCACTTTGCATGATTTCTGCTTCATGGTCTTTTTTTTTTTTTTATCACCCTGTGCTATTGTGCAACTAGGGCTTCTGTACTCCAGGTTCCCAGTTCCTTGACCAACTCAAACTCAAGGACCTTTTCATCGAGCACATGTTGGTCATCTGCTCCTTGGTTCATCCTTGTTATTATCAAAATCAGTTCAGTTGCTAAGTCATGTCTGACTTTTTGCAACCCTATGGACTGCAGGGCACCAGGCTCAACTGTCCACTATCTCCTGGAGTTTGCACAGTCATTTCCATTGAGTCAGTGATGCTATGTAACCATCTCATCCTCTGTTGCCCACTTCTCCTCCTGTCCTCAATCTTTTCCAGCATCAGGGTCTTTTCCAGTGAGTTGGTTCTTCAAATCAGGTGACCAAAGTATTGGAGCTTCAGTTTCAGCATCAGTCAGTTCAGTTCAGTCACTTAGTCGTGTCTGACTCCTTGCAACCCCATGGACTGCAGCACGCCAGGCCTCCCTGTCCATCACCAACTCCTAGAGCTTGCTCAAACTCATGTCCATTGAGTCCGTGATGCCATCCAACCATCTCATCCTCTGTTGTCACCTTCTCCTCCTGCCTTCAATCTTTCCCAGCATCAGGGTCTTTTCCAGTGAGTCAGTTCTTTGCATCAGGTGGCCAAAGTCTTGGGAGCCTCAACTTCAGCATCAGTCCTTCCAATGAATATTCAGGACTGATTTCCTTTAGGATTGACTTATTTGATCTCCTCGATGTCCAAGAGTCTTCTCCAACACCACAGTTCAAAAGCATCAATTCTTCGGTGCTCAGCTTTCTTTATAGTCCAACTCTCACATCCATACATGACTACTGGAAAAACCATTGCTTTGACTAGAGAAACCTTTTTCGGAAAGTGATGTCTATGCTTTAGGTTTGTCAGTTTTTCTTCCAAGGAATAAGCATCTTTTAATTCCTTCCTTAATCAATTTCACTTTAGCTTCTGACACTGCCACACCATTAAAATAGCTTGCAACAAATAACATGGTTAGTTATTACCAAATTTCTAAATACAATGGACATTTTTCAGTCTTTATCTTACTCAAGTTCTCAAATGACATGTTGATCAGTCTCATATTTGAAATACTCTCAGCTTACAGTACTTGATAGTTTTCTTCCTTTTTCTCTATTTTCACCAGTATCTCAGGAATTCTTGACCTTGAGCCTTTTTCTCACCTATAACTACCTATTCTAATGGTTTTATACAGTTTTATTGCTTTTTCTCTTCAGCACTCTATTGCCAGTGCCTAACTCAGGATCTAACAATAAATAGTAAGGTAGTATTTGATGAATATATGATTCCTTATATTTCTATCACCTAACATAGTTCCTAGTTGGTTTCCATAAAACCTCTGTGAAATAAATCAGTGGACATTATTCTTCTAATCCTGCAAATGAGGAACTGGAGGGTCAGAAAGATTACTTTATCCATGATCATATAGCTAATAAGTGGCACTACTGGTATCACACCAAAGTCTTAACTCCAAATCTTTGTTCTCACCTTTATATCAACAGCCTCCCTGCATACTTCACTCCTAACTCTGAGACTCTGCCTTCACTTACCCGATCCTCACGCCAGACTGGAATGAGTGTCATACTTGAATATCCCTCCTACTTTCCCACTTCTCCATCTTTTTTGGTTTTGAACCCATATATATACTTCTAGTTGTACATTTGAGGCTCAGTGGTAAAGAATTCTCCTGCAATGCAGGATACTTAGGTTTGATCTCTGGCTTGGGAAGATGCCCTTGAGAAGGAAATGGCAACCCACTCCAGTATTCTTGCCTGGAAAAATCCCATGGACAGAGAAGCCTGGCAGGCTATAGTCCATGACATCACAAAAGTTGGACACAATTTAGCAACTGAACAACAACTACATTTACCAGTAGTTCTATCAGTATTTCAAGTTACTTTTCAAATTCTATCTCAAGCTTAAAATCTTAATTTTTCTGGTTGCAAGTAAATTTTCACCCATCTGTGAATGAAAATTATTGCCCAGAATATCAGTAAACAAAGGATGTCGCAGCCATCAAGCCATCATGTTACAGCCATAGGATGATGATGATAAGCCCTGAGGGAACTCGGGAAGGAGGCAGGATGCCTGGCTATCCAGAGGTCAGGCACAGCAGCCACCACTCCCCACCCCCTCAGTGTGCCCTGAAGAATCTCAGGGTGAGAAAACAGGATACTGGCCCCAGGTAGCTGAGGTGCACATCAAAGGAATGGTTTCAATGAGCCCAGATTCTTGGATCTTCTCAAACTGAGAAAAGCACTAGATTCCTTAACTTGAGATGTCTGATTATCTTTAACTAACAGTAATCTTCTGATGTTCTAACTAGGTCTTTATTGCAAAAACCCCTATATATCCTGGCTCCCCACCTTGCTTCTTTGGAGCAGTTATCTCAGAATGATCTGAGAGTCCTATCTCTGGAACTTGAAGTCCTTAGTATGCCTGAATAAAATACAAGTCTCAGCTTTCAGGTTGTGCTTTTTCTTTTCCAGTCAACACACACTAATTCTTTCAGTATTGAAGCAGCCTGTGTGCAGGGATTGTACTCTGCACAGCCTTAATATTATGCCTTGCAGGATGAAAAGCTGAATCAGTGTTTATTGGCTTGGAAAGAAGAGTTTTAAATTTGAATTTGATCCAGAGACAAAATACCCAAGGAACAAGACTAAAACCAAGTAACTATATATATAAACATTAAACTCTATCCAGAGTCTGACTGAGGGTCTTGATCAGTTGAGGGACTTTGGGGGAAAGATGTTGGTTCTCCTTGAGTCATTCAGACACTTAGGCCGTTTTCTTCAGTGGGCTTTTGACAGGGAAATGGGCGCTGCTCTGACCAGGTTATCCGGATAAAGTGGAGGCTGGATTAGGAGCAGTTTGCTAGTGTTGAGTCCTTGGTGATGCCATCTCTGATCGGATGCAAATGGGGAAGTCAGGAAAGGGTGGGCTGGGAGAGTCAAAGGAGGTCCTTTGTATCAAACTGACCGGCTAGAAACAATCCTTGTCTTACTTTCCCAAACTTGTCTGCTGGGTGTAAGCAAAAATAATGCAGGAAAGGGAAGCCATATTGTATTCCAAATCCAGGAATCTTCTATTGCCAGGAACCAAGTCATCTACACTCAGGTAAGTGTCTTCTGAGAAGTCAAATTTAACATTTCCGGCACCACTGTCATCCTATCTCAGCTGTCTCTCATGTGTTCCTTTAAGGTTCTGTTAGCTTTTTTTTTTCTTTTAATTTTTGATGAAGTCCAAAAGTGACCAAGTGAAGCCTAAGAACCAGGATTAATAATAGCAGTCAATCTTCGTGATTTTACGGGCCTAAGCACTTTACAACAATAACGACGGGCTATGGCTACGCAGACAGAAAAAGCGGAGCGGGAATCTGATGAGGGCCGTATGGTCCCTAAATGCTCCGCTGCGATGTTCTCTGACCTTCCTCTCCGCACGCGATCTCACGTCCTGAATGGGAGCTTCTGCATCCGCAGCATCCCAGCAAAGTCCTAAATTTCACCTAAGTTTGAGAACTCCCGCACGAACCAAGGTTGATGTGGATCAACTTTTCAAGTGAAAGCAAGCTGAGGATGCCTTTGGAAAGGACACGTTCTCTGGGAGGTGGTTCAGGAGCGCCGGAGAGCTCGAGGTCGCGAGCAAAGAACAAAGGCGGACGGCGGGCATCAACTGGGAACCGGGAACGCCGAAGAGACGAGCCGGGGCCCTCAGAGCCTCCCGCGACGCAGCCCCCAGGGTAGGGAGAGGGTGCCGAGGAGACCCCCGGGAAGGTGGAGGAGGGGGCGGGGCGACGAGGACCCCGGGAAGGAGCGGGCGGGGAGAGGCGGGGAGGGATCCTGCAGGGAGGGCGAGGGGGCGGGCCCCTCGGGAAGTAGGTGGAAGGGAAGGGCGGCGATGACCGCCGGGTCAGGGCAACCGGGCGCAGACGCCGGGGAGGCAGGGGCGGGGACTCCAGGAGGGAGAGAGGGGACGGGAGCGCGGACACCTGGGAGGAAGGGGGAGGGAGGGACACCTGGGATGGAGGGGCGGGGACCCCCAGGAGGGAGAGAGGGGACGTGGGCGTGGACACCGGGGGGCGGGGTGGGGTGGGACCTCTGGGATGGAGGGGCAGGGAACCCCCCCAGGGGGGAGAGAGGGGACGGGGGAGCGGACACCGGGGAGGGAGGGGGCGGGGAGGGGCCCCTCAGGATGGAGGCGGAGGGGGAGGGGCGGGGACCCCCAGGAGGGAGAGAGGGGACGCGAGTGCGGACCCCGGAGAGGGAGGGACACCTGGGATGGAGGGGTAGGGGAGGGCCGGGACCCCCAGGAGCGAGCGCGGGGCCGCGGGCGCGGACACCTGGGAGGAAGGGGCGGGGAGGGGCCCCTCAGGCAGGCGGCGGAGGGGAGAGGCGGGGAGCCCGGGCGGGGCGCGGTGGGAGGAGAGGGCTGACGTGTGAGGGGCCGGGCCGGGGGCGGCGGGGAGGGGGCGGTGGCGGCGAGCGCGCCCTAGGCGGCGGGCCGGGGCGGGGCTGGGGGCTGAGGGGAGCGGCGGGAGGTGGGGCCGCTGAGCGCGCCGGGCTGCGGCGGCGGCCGGGAGGCGGGGTGGCGGCCGGTCGGGGCTGCGTGCGGCCGAGGGCGGCGGCCGGGGGCCGGCGGCGGCGGCGGCGAGCGCAGCGGGCGGCGGCGGCGGCGGCGGCCGAGGGCGCGGAGGGCCCCGCGGGCGCGCACGGCGGCGGGCCCGGCGGGCGGCGGGCGACGGGCAGCGTCCTCGGCGGCGGCGGGCGGCGCGCTGGCGGCGGCCATGGCGGTGGCGGCGGCGCTGGCGGGCCGCGGGGCGCGCGGAGGCAGGGGCCGGCCCCCGGGCGGCGGGCGGGCGGAGGGGGCGGGGCCCGGGCGGCGGGCGGCCCGCGCGGCGGCGGCGGTGGCGGCGGCGGCGGCGGCGGCGGCCGGGACGAGGCGGCGGCGGCGGCGGAGGCGGCGGCGCGGGGCGCTCGGGCTGATGGCGGCGGCGGGCGGCCCCGGGACGGCGCTGTCTCCGCGGCCGTGCGACAGCGACCCGGCCACCCCCGGAGCCCAGTCCCCGAAGGTGAGGAGCGGGCCGGGTCTGGGCCGGGGCGTGGGGGCGGCCGTGAGGAGGCCGGAGGGGCGGCGGGCCCCGCGCCGGGCCGGCGCCGCCTCGGGGCCCCGCCGGGTCGGGGTCCGCTCGGCCTCGGTCCCGAGTGTTCTTGGCGGTTTCCGCCCGAAGGCGCTCCTGAGCGCGTCCCCCCGGGGCAGCCCGCTCCCCGAGGACATAAAAGTTTCCTCCGACGCGAGGGCGTGCTCCGCACGTTGGTCTGGGCCCCTGCGCGTTTTGAGGCGCGCCTTCGCCTGAGGAGTGTCCTTCTGAAATGTTTGGGCTCTTTTTAAAGAGTAGGAATGTGTAAAAGTGGGAAACGAGTTAGCCAGTTAATGAACTTAACTTGAGCTAAATCAACAGAAAGCCGCCCTGTTCTTTTCAGGCCGACTTTGTTTCGTCGTTTGTGCGGTTTTAAGGAAGTGAGGCGGACTTCGTGTTTGAAAGTCAAAGATGAGTGGAGAGTCAAGATGAGCGTTTAGTAAACCACCCTGTGTTCAGTTGTTCACTAGTTTGTGACAGAACGACTTTTAAAACGTCCGCGTTTAGTTGTAACCGGAAAGTTGAAGTTGGACGGTAATGGGGCCCCTCCGGGGTGCCGTGTCGGTGGTGGCCGTGGGGCCGGGCCTTGGGCGCCTGCGAGCCTGCGGCCCCTCCCGCGCGATCCCCAGGCCACCCGGCCCCTCCTTCCTGGGGGAGCGCAGGGGGCCCCAGGAGCGCGGCCGGGCGCCGGGGCTCCCCTAGGCCGGGCTTCCGGAGCCCAGGCCAGCCAGGGAGGCTTGTTCCGAACCTGTGACTTGCCCTTGTGGCGGTGCTTCAGCCGCTCAGTCCTGTCGGACTCGTGGCGACCTTAGTGACTGCTGCGCGCCAGGCTTCCCTGTCCTTCACCGTTTTCCCGAGTGTGCTCACATTCCTGTCCAGTGACCTTCAGAAATGTGTTGAATCCCAAGGTGAGAGCCACCCAGTACTCTGAAATACACATTGCTGACTTCAGAGTTGGGAAGCCTTAAAACCCGGACTTCTCTGTCAATAGCCAGGTTGCAGGCAAATTCTTTTAATCGTATTCCATCGTATTGTTAGGAAATATGTTGCTGTTATCCCTCTCTAATATTCACTGTATAGAATAACACGTTTGCCTAGAATTCGTAATAGCAAATTCAAACACTACATGTGGAGTTGTGCTTTCAGCTTTTTTGAGGACGTTCCATTTTTAACTTTTTAACACTTTTTAAATGTATACATTTTTTTAGCTAAGGCAAAGGTATTTAAACCATTGGAGATAAAAATCCTTAAAGTGCTCAGATACTTGAATGCTTGTTGAGTATGAAATGTTTCAATTGGGAGACATTGTTAAATGTAAGTTTTTGGAGAATATTTAATAGATTTATGCTGTTCTCCATCTCCTACCTTTTTGCTTAATAGGAATATACAGAACTCTTCAACTGAATACGTATTTTCTAAGAATTGCAAAGGAGAATATTCCACGGTTTTTGCTATTTGGTAAAGAATCTGAGTAAATTCCTAACAGGGAGCCTTTTGAGACTTGATCATGAATGCAATCATATTAGCTAAGTTCTCCTGTGCACTTAACTGTTTGCAAGACCTTGCTCTAATTATTTCATGTATTAAGTCTAATCCCTACATTGGCCAAGTAATAGAGGCAGCACTATTGTCACAGTTTTACAGATAAGGAGCGGCCCACCACTGAGAGGATAACCACTCAGCTGGTGAGGGGCAGTCAGTGCCCAGTAAGATTCCAGGCAGTCCAGCTTTGATGTGCCTAACCAACATACTCACTACCTCTGTATTCTTGGATTCATGATATTTAACAAAACTGTATTGTCTTAGGAGGCTAGATTACCTTGATTTTTTTTGTTTGTTTTTCATCTTTTTTATTTAAGCCTTGACTAATATGTGGTTGGGCTTCCGGGTAGCTCAGTGGTAAAGAACCCACCTGCCAATGCAGGAGATGCGGGTTTGATCTTGGGTCAGGAAATGGCAACCCATTCCAGTATTCTTGCCTGGGAAATACCATGGACAGAGGAGCCTGGGGGACTGTAGTCTATGGGGTCACAAGAGAGTCCGATAAACATAGATTTACCCCTATGTTTGCCTTAGGAACAACAACAATGTGATTAAATTAATTTCCCGATACTTGATCCATCATTCATTTCCTTAATGAAATGGTCTAACTTACAACCTTGATAAAGTCACATAATGGAAAATGTCACTTAAAAATTTTTTAAACCTCTTCTTTTGGGGAGGTAGTGTGTGTTGTATTGATCGATGACTCTTATTCTGGTATATTTTTGCTGAATTTTTGCAGTATAAGAAAAAAAATAACAGAATTGGTCATCTGTTTTTGTTCCTTTGTGTCCTCTTTTCACAGGGATATAAGTATCTGAAATGGCCAATTAGAATAAGCCTGCTCTAAGTTGAGTTAAACAGTAACTGATTCATACATTTTTATTCTAGCTAGAGTAGGAATGTTTATTTTAATTTCAGAGCATTGCAGCAGTTTGATGTGTTTCTTCAAAGCAGAAGGCATTTTAACCTCTTGGTAAGAAAGGAAGAGTAGATTTAGACCTACAACTTTATTGAAAATTTTCTACTTTGATTTGTATTGAAGATTAGTTTTGGGTTTTTTCCAGGTCTTGCCAAGGCCAAATTCTTGTCCCTGGTTAATTATAATAGGAAGTTATCATTTGTATAATCTTTAGGAAGCCTTTAAGTTGAGCCGTTTGGCAAATTTGGGAGGATTACATAATCTTTCTTACTGTTCTTTGTCCTGTTATTTTTTGCATCTTTTGAATGTATAGGATGATAATGAAGATAATTCAAATGATGGGACCCAGCCGTCCAAAAGGAGGCGAATGGGCTCTGGAGACAGCTCCAGGAGCTGCGACACTTCCAGCCAGGATCTTGGGTAGTGTCATTTTATTACTTTTAATGTTTTCTGTGTTATGTGTCTTTTCTGTGTGTTAGCTCTCTCCTCCCCATCCCCTAGCCCTGGCAAAGGATTGAGAATGTTTTTATTGTGTTTTACAAAGTGACACCAAAGTTGCTTTTTGCTACTTCGTGCAATTCAAAGAAAAAAAATTTTATTGTGATAAAATACACACAGAATTCACCATTTTAACTACCTTTAAGTGTATAATTCGGTGGCATAAGTTACATTCACAGTGTTGTGTAACCGTCACCACCATCCATTTCCAAAACTTTTACATAATAAGATTCCCATTTCCCTCATTCGCAGCCGCCGGCAACCACCATTCTATTTTCTGTATTAGTTCTCCTGTTCTAGGTACCTCATGTAGGTGGAATCATGCAATATTTGTCTTTTTGTGTCTGGTTTATTTTGGTTAGCATAATTTCTTCACAGTTCATCCAGGTTGTAGCTTGTGTTAGAATTTCTTTCTTTAAGGCTAAATTGTACTCCATTGTTGTAATTATACTCTGTTATCTTTTCATCTGTTGATGGACACGGGTTATTTCCAAATTTTGGGGCATGTGGATAATGCTGCCTTGAGCATTGGTGTATAAATATATTTGTTTAGAGGCCCCATTTTCAACTTCTTTGGATATATACCTAGGAGTAAAATAGGTGGGTCATATGACAACTCTTATGTTTAACTTTTTGAGGAACTGCCAAACTGTTTTGCATAGTGGATGCACCATTTTATATTCCTACCAGCAATGTACAAAGTTTCTAATTTCTTCACATCCTCACCAGCATATCTTATTTCCCATTTTATTTTTAATAATAGCCATTCTAAAAGGTGTGAAGTGGAATCTATTGTGATTTTGATTTGAATTTCCATAATGACTAGTCAGATTGAACATCTTTTCGTATACTTACTGTCCATTAGTTTATTCTTGGGGAAATGTCTATTCAGGTTTTCTGCCCATATTTAAATTGTTTTTGTTGTTGAGTTGTAGGAATTCTTTATATATTTTAGATACTAATTTCTTATCAGAGATATGATTTGCAAATATTTTCTCCCATTCTATTGATTTTTCACTCTGTTGATACACAACATTTTAAGTTTTGCTCAAGTCCAAATTATTTACTCTTTCTTTTGCTGTCATATCTAGAATCCTTTGCTAAATCTGAGATCATGAAGATTTACCCCCATGTTTTCTTCTAAGAGACTCCTAGTTTTAGTTCTTATATTTAGGTCATCTGTCCATTTTAAAATTCATTTTTCTAGGCGACATCAGATACAAGGGCTCTGTTTCACACATGTCCATTTCTCAGGACCACTTTTGAGAAAGCTCTTCTTTTGTCTTTTAATTGTGGGGGAGGGAGGGGTGTGTGTGTGCGCGCGTGTGTGTCG